GTACTTTTTTTATCAATGCTCTCCTAAATCTTTTCATAGGCATCATCTCTGTAAGTTTTTTTATGATCGCTTTAAGTCAACTGTTTAACAGGAAAAGTTCTTAGAAAGTTCTGTATATATCATGAATTTAAGATATAAAAATGTATAAAAATTGAATATTACATTTCATCGAGTTATTTGTATCTCAGTGTTTAATTTTATATGACTTTGGTAAAAACAATGTATAAATAAGAAAAAAAATAACATTTATAGTGAAGGATCTGGTATTTCCGCGAAAAATATCTTACCTTCTACTGTCAGAACTCTTCCTGTTAACATTATATACTTGAGTCTTGACGCATATAAACTTCCAACGCGTTATTACTATTTTTATTTATAATACAAAATGGACAAATTGTATTTTTTTAAATATAGAGAGAGAAAACAAAAATTAAAAAAAAAATATTCCATATTTAGAACCACCATATATAAGATATCGATAAATATTCATATTTTATATCATGAAGAATCAATTACGATAGATTTAAAACAAGCTTTACGTACTTCCGTATTTAAAGTACTGCTCTTTAGTCTGTATACTTTTATGGGTGTGACCTCGATACCTTACCAAAAATTTTAAGCCGGTTGCTATTAACGCATATAAATTGTTTTTATTTTTATACTTATTACTCACAGAACGTTCTATGAGTTAAGATTAAGACCTAAAATACTGCTTTAGTTATTATATGTAGTAATAATTTTGACAAGAACATTGTACAAAACATTTGTGCAACGTAAAACTATAAGATCTATATTAGTAACGAACGCGTACCCTGCATCTTATAACTCCGTATTAATTTCATATATTGTTTATAAAATTAATGTCTTTATGTAAACCCGTATATAAACCGACATAATCAAGACGTATAAAGTTGGCCGAATAAGCCGTTAGTTATCAAATATATAAAAGAATATGAAATTCTTTTGGACCATCCTATCCTTTAAAGAAATAAATTTTGGATAGTTTATTAAATATCGATAAATACGAAAAGTTGAACAAAATATAGATAATTCGATATGTCGTTTCTATGTTTTATTGTCAAAATCGTATAAAATATTGACCGAGGACGTAATTTTCCATTCGAAATCGATACCTTGTTCGCATGAAGTAAATAGTTACAATATACAAACCTGACCCTTCCTTAACCTATTTGAAGGTTGGTAGGCCATTGTTCAAATATCTTGGTCCAAACTCTGTGTCAAAGATTAAATCAAATATCTTTGACAATTGCCCATCCTTCGATAAAATTTCTAAACAAATATACAGTGCTGTTCACACTGACATATAAAATGTTGCTGACAATTTGAATGAAGGATTGATCCATCAAAGCTTCATTCCGTCATTCAACCTCTTTGAAGAGTCACATTGGACATACTTCTGGCCAGTGGCATGCCAGCCTTAGTGGGGACATTAGCAACAAAACTAGTAATATAACAATAAACACACTGACAACATCAAAAACATCAATTCGACATATTTAAAACATCCACCTAATATTAACGCTACGGTACATTAAAAGCTGTATTATACTGAAAAAGTCAATTTGTAAAATAGAGAAATATTATTATCTTTATTTTTATTAAGACCACACACACCGATACCTTTAGCTACAGCGATTAGCGATATATAGGCTGCGTTTTGTCGATTTTAAACTACCAATTTATCGATTACTTATGAGCTAATATCGCTTTTAACGATAATATAACCATCTCGATTTATTAAGTCATATTCCGGCCATATCTCATAAAATCGCCTATTTTGATGTTTAAATATAAAAATCAGCGTAAAACGACTGAAAACGATTAAACTAGACGCTATGCCAAAACAGTGTGTGCTAAGCCTTTAATGACATCGTAATTCTATACATATTATTACCAATAATTATATTAGTGTTCTAAACACTACAACATTAAATACATCGAACATATAGAAAACTTAAGACACCTATTGCTAATAGTATAATATAACTTACTTACAATTCCTCAGTTTAACACTAAGTCGAAACGTTAGGAAAATTGACAAAAGTTATTTTATTAGACAATGTTGTTTAAGGATATGTAGAACTTGGAGTTCATTCAAAAATATTTTTTATAGAATAGCTGGTATTTTAGAGTAAAAATATGAATAGCTGGATATAGACGAATGGACTAAGCATTCGCGTCACAACATTATTCCATATAGGGAGAGAGTCTCGACTTAAACGTAAATACTAATTCATAAGCCAACGAGATTTCTATTGTCTTCTTAAAAAGAGACAACGAAAAACACATCATCAGTTTGTCTCTCTCACACTTTTATATCCATTATTTGACTTTTATCTAAATTTGATGCCGTTACGAACCATCAGTCCATTTTCCAAATAGAAGTCAATATCAAAGATATGATGATATAACGTCTATGTAACATTAAAGTTCCTATATTAATAGCTTATTCCTATTTTATAAGCTACCGTGTAGAAGAAATCTATATACAATATACAAACAGACAAGATTTGCGTACTGATTTTAAATAATATACCAAATTACAATTTTTTGCTGAATATTATACTTTAGGGTTTGGTATGAAATTTTGTTACAATATAAACTATTTATGTAAGGACGTAAAGTCAGAAGGCTTTATCGGTTGAGGTATTTAAATAAAATCTTAAATTTAGCAAATATTATTTGCTTTTGTATAAACAGTTACAAGGTTACAAAATAATTTTGTACTTAGGTTATTTTAAAATAACGTAGAATAAATAATGTTTTAGAAATAGTATCTTATAAGTATTAGGCTATCGTTTCTATTGACTCAAATGACAATTCAAGCGTAAAACAATATTCAACTCTCTGGTAAATTAAATAAGACCCTGTTTTGATCACAGACAAAACGACCTTAAACATTAATCAATAGTTAAAAACAACAATTTGCGCTATAATCATCAAAACGAAAGATTAACTGGTGGTTTATTATTACTTATTTTACATACATAAAATCGACGTTTAGATCTCATAATCAGTACTTGGGAATATCGTACGTTTTTAAGATCTAATACGCAAATTTTATAAATCATTATGGTAACACTGATAATATATAGAAATTATCTTGTGCGTATATAAAAATAATTAAAACTTGACATTGAGCATTAAATGATTTGTACGGAACTACAAAACAAATATATAGTAAATGCAAATATACATATGTTTTAGAATATCAAAAAAAACTTTATCACCTAAAATTAATATTATATTTATATTAATTTAGAATCATTCTTAAGGCAACATTTATTCATTTCCAATCGACACAAACTAATGGTCATATCGTTATCTATAATCTGGTCAAAACTTCTCAAAGTGAAAGTATATACATATATAGTACACTAGTAACTCGTTAGGGTTCGTTCCTAGACAAAATCAAATTATCCCACTGGAAAAGTACAATTTCCGGGATGATATATAGATAGCCTATATAATAACCTTCCTCAATAAAAAGAGCTATCTAATGCAAAAAAAATTTCAAATCGGATTAGTAGTTCTTGAGATTAGCGCGTTCAAACAAAAAAACTCTGCCTCTTTATTATATTAGTATAGATAAACTTAACTGCCTTAGTAAGTTAGAAATCAAAAAAATTATCTTGACGTGTGGAATATAATTTAATTCAATGATGAGATATTGTTCACTGTCCTAATATTTTCAATAATAAAATAAAACTGCCTTTTTATTTATTTTTCTAAAATCCAAATTTCTTCAACGAACAGATGGTAATAATTTTCCAAAAATAGTTCGAACCGTTTTTTTCTGCTTTTACATTAAAAAAGTATATACTTCTATACTTTCTTTAAGGAACAAAGCTGTCCCATTAACAGTGAAAACACCGTATAAATTGTAAAATTTTAAACCAAACTTTAAATGTTTATGTAATATGTACAGAATTGCATATCTCATCTAAGACACGAATATTGACATCGTAGTTACAAACTCTTAGAATAACTTATGTAATACTTATATAATAACAAAGTGGAAAATATTTTCCAGCTACGATATTCTATATAGTATATATTGCACGTGATCGTGCAATTTGGAGAGGGAAAAAGTAATTTTTACAACATATTGTGGTTTTCGTAGTGGGTTTTCGCTTTCATGTAAATATAGGCATGTAGATTATTAAATTTAATATAGTGCTCAAAAATTACTTTCCAAAACTCCTAAATATTATTACATATTGCAATCAGAAGTAAAATTTAATCTATTTCATGTCATTGCTTAAATTTAAGTGTAGTTAGACTATAAATTTAAGTCAGATACACTAACACTAAATGTCTATAGTGTAACACCAACGCAATAGTGTAATCGGTAATATGTACTTGTTCTATGAGATATAGGTAAAGTTCATTCATTCTTCACACTTCATAGTGTAATAAAATCATTTTAAATAATTTAACTTGCGCATATTCCCGTAACCAAGATGTTTTGAATTGAATTTGAATGTACTACGCGAGTTAAATCTCTTCAATTCTTTATTATATATTCTTTATTATATTAAAGTACAAATTACAAAGCTGAAATCAAAATAAATATGTATTTAAAAAAATAAGGATAATACCTATTACCAAGATTTTAGTACAAAAAAATGTCGATAATACATATAATCGGTAGACATAAAATTATCTTATAACTACATAAAAATATACACTACACTATTCCAAATTCAATGTCATTACTTAAAACTAAGTGCAGTTACACTATAAATACAAGTTCTCGTACACTAACACTAAGTGTTGCACTAAGCATGTCTATAGAAATAAACCGACGATCTAGGTCCAGTGTACATATCAATATATACAAAAGAGTACACTGGCTGTATTACCCATCCAAATGGAATATATACACAACAGTTTATAACGTATTGGACACGGAAGGTCCAAACATAATGGAAGTAGGTGGGTAATCGCCGTTCTTGCGACGATTGGTTCTGATCCTAAGCAATCTGATACGAAAGTCTGTCATCAGCTGAGACCCGGGCTTGTAACAAGCCGGGGTTTCGCTCGCAAAAGCTGCAACAAAAATAAGCAAATGTACAGATGGAAATAGCGCTATAAATATATAAAGCATATAGTTCAAAGTAGTTACATATTTGCTAATGGAGTGAAGCAAATCAAAAATATTAAAAATAAAATGTACTATAAATATTAATAGTAACAAAAACATTTATAAAAACAAGCTTTTATTTAAATGCTCTGAAGAGAAGAAAATAAATTCTAAATTAAATCAAACCCATCAATTTATTACATTACACAATTTATCTGTACTAATATTATAATATTATAGTTTGTGACGTTGTAGGGGGTAATCTCTGGATCTACTGAACCGATTTAGATGAAATTTAGTAAGAAGATAGTTTAAAACTTTGGGAAGGACATAGGATACTTTGTATCCCGGAAATCATCCCTTAAGGTGTGAAAAAGGGGACGAAAGTTTGTATGGGGAATAAAGCTAGAGATGAACCCCAGCGAAGCGAGGGTAAGTCGCTAGTTTGATATAAAAGTTTATCGCGAGATTAACTTATTTTAAATATTATATTCTAGTTTATATACATAGGTTCTATTACACAGAACCGGACAGGTTAAACTAAATAAAAGCTTGTAAAATAGTAATCAATGATTTGTATTTTTGCAGCCAACAAATGCTACATAAAAAGCAGCTGATATGAGTAATGAAATTATTTTAATACATAGTAACGAATCCTGTGGCCTTATCTGGTAAATATCTAACTATACATAAATTCAGCTCTCGAACAGTTTAACTATTTGTATTGATGATTTAAATGTTTATCCCCAAAGTTAAGTCAAATCAGGCATTGGTCATCACTAAGCAATACATAGATTTTTTAAAAGCCGAAAATACCATACTTATAATATTATAAATGCAAAACTGTGTTTGTTTGTTAATCCTCTTTTCACTTCGAAACAGAGTTACGGATTGGCGTAATTTTTTGTGTGGAGATAGTTGGAGGGCTAGAGAGTAACGTAGGCTATTTTTTACCGCGGGAGATTATCTCATTTCCATGAGAAAACACGTTACAATACAACTCACGACAACTCATCATACCTACATTTATATACATATGACTATATATATATATATATATATATATGTATACGCATATAATATTAAATAGTCTATTCCATACTAACCATTAAAACGTACCTAGGGACGAGCCCGCTAAACATACAATACCTCTGTAGAAAATCGAAATATCGTTTATAATACTGTTAATCTAGCTTTTATACATGTTATTGATCCTTCAAGTAGACTGGTAGTTGAAGAGCCGATATAAATATTTCCGATAAATATAGTCAAGAGCGACTGCATAATAAAATGATAAATCATTAATAAAGCGGGTTGCCATAAAGCAATAGATCAGTACAGATAGAAAAAATCAAGTTGCTGGTATAAAAATAAATGCGCTGACTTCATAACTCAGTATATGTAAATATGAAAATATTATTAGGTAATTAGTGACTTGCTCTCGGTTCGCTCGGGCGCGTCCTTATAGGCACGTTTTAATTTTTTTGGGAACCCTAATTCTTTAAAAAAAGTAAAGTAGCCTAAGTTACTTCTTATAACATCAGCTATCTGCCAATAGTTTCGTCAAAATCAGTCCAGCCATTTCAGAGACTAGTCGGAAAGAACACACAGACAAAAATTTTAAAAATTGTGTTTGTGTTCTATACATGCATTTAGTGAAAACATTTATTCCGACATTACAAACAGACACCTCAATTTTATTTATATGTATAAATGATTCAAAAATAATATATGCTGATCAAATCACCCAATTGAAAGGAACGCGGAAGCTCTTCAACAATATACGTACACTAAGTCAAGTCACGATCTCAAGAAGACTCAAGTCGCGTTTAGACTCATTTAGAAAAAAAAGCGCCTTAGACACATTCAAATATCTTTGTTAAATCTGCATATACATATGCAACAACAGTCATAAGAATAACAAAAAACATAAATTCTTTTTAGAAAAGTAAAATTATTTTATCATTTGATGAATTTAATTAACAAATTCTAACCGTGATATTATTTTGTCACGCAAATTATGATTTTTGTCGTATAATTAATATTTTTTTATACCTATTAATATATCATAATTAATAATTATATATCAATTATTATTCTAACCGTGACATGTACTGAATATATTTGGATTTATGTTTGTTTGTTACATCTTCATTTAAATAAATAAATAAATATAAATATGTCGGGACATTGACATACATGACCATCTAGTTTCATGGTAAGCTACGAGGCTTGTGTTATGGATACCAGATAGTTGATACACTACACATATATAACTTTAAATACATACATATTATAAATATAAACACCCATAACTGTAGTACAAACATTCGTGCTCATCATACAAATGAATGCCCCTAGCGGGACTCAAACCAGCGACCGCTGGCACAGCAAGTAGGATCACTACAAACTGAGCCAAACGTGTCGTCAAATTAATAAAATAAAATCATTTAAATGGATTTGGATCAAATTTAATAAACAGACTGTGACCAGGCTAAAGTTAATAATAAAATTAGTTAAAAGATGGCGCTGCCGTGTTATATTAAAAATACAAACAACACCTAGACACTCGAGCGGAACGAGGGTAATTCCTGATAACATTATAATTTATAATGTAATTAACTACTTTATAAATGATTGTTTTCCTTAACACTATACATAATATATATGTGTAAACGACCAATGCCGCATCAGCTATTTAGTTTTTACTGCAGTCGCCGACTTTGTTACGGAAACTCGTACTGTGCCAGTCAAACTCTCAGTCCCTAGGTAAGTCGTTTCAAAGATAGTTCATTAATAATTGATCTCATTACTTATTGTACATTTGAGCTTTGTCTGCCTTGTTATTTTGATCACCTGCTGGTTGTTATGTTTATTTTAAATAATAGGTTATTTTTGATTTTGCTTTGATTCGTCAGTCCCTAGACCGTCAGGCCCTCGTCGTAAGTGACTAGGGCCTGATGGCACACCTAGGGACTGACGGCCATACTGCGTGATCCATGTAGTATTTGTTAGAAAGAGTGATTATTACGTTCAAATTATAATTTTGTTACTTAGAAAGCTAATTTTTAAAGTATTGTTAATTATTTAAAGATTTTTAATTTGTAAGTACTAAACTCAAAGTACAGTTAATATAAGAAAGGCTATGATTGTAACTTTTCAGTTTACTCAGATTTTATAAATTTTGTTTACTGAAGAGATAAGTAGGTAATAATAAGTTTCACTGATAGCTTGTCAGGTAACATAAAATTGATTGTCTACTTCAGTACATTGAATATTTTTGACACCCATATGCAACATGCACATATAATATATAAGCATCTTAGGTACAGTTCTAAGGAAAACAATTATTCCTAAAAGTTAATAAAATTACGTTAATTAAATGTCATAAATAGTAAGATAATAAAATAACTTCGTAATATCTTCGTCGAAACAATTCTTATTGAATTTATATTCATTTTAAGGATATAACTTTGCAACAATATTGCAAGATTATAGTAGTTACTTGTTCTTAACAGAAAGGATCTAAATCGTAATTTTTTTCTATTAAGAACAAGTAACCTAGCTTTCTTGAATTTTGTAACTTATTAAAAAGTATGATTTTATGTTAAATATGAAGCTTTTAGTTTGATCTTTATCTTTTAAACATAAAATCCTGAAATAAATATATTTATTTTCAAAAAAGAAGATGAGTGCTGATGTATAATTTTTGTATTTTATGATATTACTGTCACTTGTAAACTGATTTTTATTCTTGTATTTATTATATAATATAAATGAAAAAATATCCTAATCTATCTATATATATAAAAACCAATTGCCATTAAAACTCAAAAACGGCTGAACCAAATTGACTAATTCTTTAACAAAAAACTAAAAAAAAACAGCTGGGAAATTGAAAAGTTCAGAACTGTTTATTTTGTACCTATGTATGATGAGTTCTCCTGACCGATTCCGGCCACGGCGGCCAATCTCATTGAGACTAGCCAACTGCGCAGGAGATATTATAGTGCACAAGTGTACGCGCAGACACTAGTGCACTCTCTATTCCTGTCACTCTCATACTCCGGTGGGACGACACGAGACACGACCAGTGAGAGTTAAGGCGCAGGACCAACGGCTTTACGTGCTCTCCGAGGCACGGGGGTGAAACACCGCCAACTTCACAACTCCGGGCTGTTACTGAGGCGTACTATACAAGAAAGACTCAATAACTAAACTTGGCCCGACCCGGGATTCGAACCCAGGACCTCCGGGTGTGCAGCCGTACATGCTAGCCACTACACCACCGAGGGAGTTAGACATGTATACCTATACAATACATAGTCTATCATTCCATATAACCGTTAAAACGTGTAACTAAATATACATTAAAAATATCATCTATTTATATAAAAGTAAAAGACAGCGTAGCGGCGGCGTAGTAAACTCATTCATTTACGTGTTATCGCATTTTTTTTATTACTATACTAGCGGCTCACCCTCGCTTCGCTCGGGTTCGTCGCTAGGTACGTTTTAAATAGATATAAAAAGAAAAAATCTTTCTTTCTCACATTTTAATTATATGTTTTAATACTTACCTATTCCGGACTAAGAGAAATCCAAAAATTAAAATATCATAAAAATTGGAACGCGGTCGAACGGGATAAAAAGTATCCTATGTCCTTCTCCTGGCTCTAAACTACCTCCCTGCCAATTTTCAGCTAAATCGGTTCAGCCGTTCTTGAGTTATAAGCGAAGTAACTAACACGACTTTCTTTTATATATATATAGATTACACCATTACCATAAATACGAAAGTGATGTATGTATGTGTATAACTGTCACTCCTTCACGCTGTTACGGCTAGACAGATTTAGGTGGAATTTATTACACAGAGTATCACCTGGATTCAAAGGCATCTGATTATAATTATTATTAAACATACATAAAACGAAGAGAAACAATACAGAAATGAAAAACCCGGTCAAGCGCGAATCTGACTCGCACACGAAGGGTTGGCTCCGTACCATCGCACAAAATATAACACAATGTCTTAATCATTAGTTTTTTTTTAAATTGCACGTCGGCCATTTTGAAATTAGCCATCTTGGTTTTTTACTATTTGTTGTTATAACGGCAACAGAAATACAAACACTGAAAATTTCAACTCTACTATTACGGTTAATGAAATACAGTCTGGCTGACAGACATACGAAGGGACGGTCAACGGAGGACTTAGTGAGACTTAGTAGAGGATAGTAATAGGGTCCCGTTGGCAGCCTTTGGGTACGAAACCCTAAAAAGCACTTAGGACCGAACCCAAACGAAGACAGGGTCAGTCGCTAGTTATCTATGTACAAATCACAATATGATTTGGAAACATTACTTAAGTATTCGTATAAATAATCTTGTTTTGAGACAGTAAGATAAACAAAATAATAAATTAAGCATGTACACAAACTTTTTGCTTATAATCTTAACGCAAACAGAGTAGCCGTAACACAATTTTATTTATTAAGTCGTTAGTTAAAAAGTATTTATTTATCATTTATGTTTTATCGAACAAAAGAAGTTTTTTTTATAATGGCCTATAAATTATTGATAACTTATATGTAAATATTAAATATTGTTTTAAAACCTATCTATCTATACATGCCTATAATAAAATTGTAACTAAGCCGAATCTGTACATTAAATATTTTTTGGAAAATCTTATTTAAATAAACATTATTGTCGATACAGAGGCCGAATCTATAGTTTTTAGAATTTTTGTCTGTCTATTTGTCTGTCTCTCTATCTGTTACCGCATCACAGAAAAACTACAGGAGGGATTTTGATGAACTTTGGTATGGTGATAGCTGGTTATCCGGGTCAACATATAGGATACTTTTTACCACGGGAAAATGTCTCATTTCTGAGGAAAAATACGAAAACTTCAATGTAAGAGTATACTAATCTGTAAAACCTAAGAATTTGGTTTTTGGTAATCTGAACGCGGGCGGAGCCGCGGCCAATGCTAGTCACCGATAAAGTACTATCACTTAAGATATATCGGACTACGAAAGTTTGTACGTTTGTTACTCTTTAACGCTATATTTAGTACACAGAGAGACTATGATACCTTGAGTAACACATAGGCGACTATTAAGGCCTCTCCACACTAGTGCCGATCACAGTCCTTTCTCGGTCCGTACTCCGTTTGATAAAGTATTTCTTTACAAGAAACGTATATAAATAGTATATCTATATAAATAGTGTGAATTTACTCATTGTTTCTTGTATAACAATACTTTAACAGACCGATATCGGACCGAGAACGGACTGTGATCGGCACTAATGTACGCTCTTCGTTATATTATTGCACCTTTTGACCAATTATTGTTATTATATTGATTAATGACCGTATTACGATTGTTTATAAAGTACAGGAAAAAGCGATAACAAATGCTTCAACTATGCATTTATTATACATTTTTATACTGTAATTTTCTTTGCGAGTTAGATGCGGGAGGAAAGAGATCTCTTACATCTTGGAATAACACATCGACAATTTTTTATATAACAACCTAAACCACGAGCAGAGTCGCGTGTAAAATTTTAACAGAAAAATTAAGTACTTAAGTGCGGTATAGTGACATCTTACAACTTGGATTAACACAGTATAAGCTAGTTTTTTATAGAATTTACCTACCACGAGTACAGTCGCGGGCAAATACTAATAAACAGAAATAGTTGAATAAAAAAATAGTTCAAATAATTGCAAATAAAAGGCAAAGTCAATTCGGTGTCAATTAACAGTGGTTTTGTAGCGTACATTCACAGCGCTATGCCATCTCTATAAGATGGTTAAAAACTGTCAAAATTCTTAAAAATTTGTTTGATTAAATTCAGAATAAATTTTGCAATATTTATCATATTTTAGTTTTCATAAATTTATTAAATAAAATAGGGCCAAAATTAACGACATCTATTATCAATCCAAGCAAACAAAAAAATCGAAGAAACTGGAATAAACGCTGTCCAATTTATTTGTATGTATGTAAATGTCATCTGTACTAGTATAGTATTATATCATCTGTGGTACCAATAAATAAAAAAAACTACTTACAGCAAACCCCGCTCACGCAGCCTTCGCTTGACCGCCGGCTTGACCCTGGGTCGGCCATTACTGTGCAATCCCCGTCCAGTTATAAGGAACAACGTGTGATGTTGTACTCTAATATTACTGTCCTGGGCCTCCCTAAGCTTCTGGATATGGGAATCCAGGAACAAATCCAGGGTTTCCCTGGCTTCTGCAACTCTTAGATAGTGGAGGTCTATTGTAGCATTGTCAGAACTATTTGCTGCGTGTACCTGTAATGTAAGCATTTTAGGTTCAACTTCTATTACCACGTATACAAATCCATAAAGAAAGCGAACGCTCGCTGATTTTAACGGAACTGCTTTCAAATGCAAAAGTTGCCAAAACATACCAATATTAATGGCGAAAGTTGAAGTGCCATCTCGTGGCAAGTTACAGTTACACCCGTCAATCCTGAACCTGTTTCCCGACTTATTATGTATGTATGTCAGTCAGTATCGCGTCATGCGCGTCAAACTATTTCCCTGTCTAGTCCCTTCGTTAAATGTCTGTATAAATCAGTTTATGACCGCGTCTAGAATTTCGTGGTAAGTACGTCGATATGAAGTAGCCTAAATGTTTTTTTTTTGTTGGGACATTAACACACATCTAGTTCAATGATAAGCTACGAGGCTTGTCTTATGGATACCAGATAGTTGATACACCACACATATATAACTTTAAATACATACACACAACTTTAAATATAAACACCCATGACTGGAGTACAAACATTCGTGCTCATCACACAAATGAATTCCCCCAGCGGGACTCGAACTCGCGACTGCTGGCACAGCAAGTAGGGTCAGTACCAACTGAGCCAAATGTGTCGTCAAATTAAATATATATTCAGAATATTAGGCATTCCCTTTTCAAAATTATTTTTTAACGTAATTTCTTTAGTTCAACAATTTTATTGGGTCTATCACGACCACAAAAAAATAGCCAAATCGGTCCAGTATAAAAGTTATATGAGTATTTCACAATTCTCAAGTTATGCGCTAATACCAACAAGACAGCATTACATTTTTATTTATATATATTTATTTTAAATACTAACTTGTATAAGGGAAGCCGCAGCCAAACTGTTAGCTTGCTCGTATTTTCTCTTATGGTACGCGGCAACTTCACAATAGTATGTTGCTACTTGGGTCATACCACGCCTTATATATTCTTGGGCCTTTTGATAATGTCTGAAATTTTATTTTAAAAACCATTGTAATTTATTACACACGGTGACTTACCCTAGCTTAGGTCAGATGCACTCCTAGTATCTTCTATTTCTTTAAAATTAATCCAATAATATCATCATATGTAGATTATTTTCGCTAAATATTTATCAAATATGCTTTTCATAGAAAATCCCTATTCTATTGGTGTAAACCTTATGAAAATCCTTACAGCAAGGTTTGAGATTGGCGCGAATGAACAGAAACTCAGCACAACGGAGGATATTAATTTTTAATAATATGTAGTGATGATACACAAACACCCGTAAAAACTTAGACGCGTATTAGTGTCCTTTTCAAATGATAATGAAAAAAAAATTTTTGTAACTTTAATATACTTTTTGTATAAAAAGGACTGGATGAAAAATTGTCTCAGTTATTCACTACATCCAAAATCAAGGCCAACTTACTACATATCAAAATGTTTATTATGTAGTTACTATAAAATTGGAGCATTTCTAGACATAATAACATAAAATTTATATACATAATATTAGAAAGTATTATTATATACATAATATTAATACTGGTATTTATTAATTGGCCCAAAATTTATAAATTTTAATTTTATATATATATAAAAATTAACACAGAATTATAAAAAAAAATCTAGTCAACACAAGTGGTTGCTATAAATATTTTTTATATAGAATATTGTTATTTTAAATATATACTTTTATTTAAATAAAAAGATTTTAGACCATTTTCAAATTAATTTCAAAATTAGTTTTACTTGTGGTTAAATTTTGCTTGAAATGTATACAGGAATATCCTTGATAAGAAATAACTTAATAATTAAATTAAAACCATAAATTGATTAGAAAATACATGTAAACTTATATGTATGTAGTTAGATGGTATGTATATATATGTATGTCCGTGTATCACTTAACACCTGGGCGGAGTCAGAGCGAAGGGTTTGTTTATAATAAATTATAATAAATCTGAATTACTTACACATTCCTAGTTTGCAAATGCGCATCCGCTTCATCTCTAAACTGTTTCACATGCGACATCTCCACTTTTTCCCCTTTCGGTAGCAATGGCCATTCGACCTCTGACAATGTCTAAAAAATAATAAAAATTATACCCTAATATTGAAAAAAAAAACATTTTATTTGTATTTAAAATGCGAATAAAAAAGTTTTTTTTTCGTATAGGTATATATTAAATCGTACATATTTATACCTTTTTCTCTTCTAGAGCTAGCTTCTCTTGTTGCCTCTCAAATTCCTTTTTCATAACAAATTTACTAACTCCATCTTTATCATCAAGAACGTCGGTTTTTCCAGTGGACATCAATAATACCTAGAATCGTATGCGCTGAATAATATTTACGGAAAAAGAAAAAAACACACACTAAGGTTTTTTTTACTTCATCTATGGCATTTAATTGAAGATACAGTCATATTTTTAATACCAAGCTATTATAATTGACTAAAAATATAAGAAAACGCGATGTATGAGAAATTTAACTGTATATACCAATCCCATTTAACTGGCAGGAATAATTAATACATTTCAGACTGTTTACTATACAATCGTAATATATACAAATAAATCAAATTAAAGTGTCTGTCGGTTATTTCAAAATAACTATGTCTTCTCATGTACATAGTTATTTATATGATCCCAGTACCTAAACAACCTTTTTTTTTAAATTATCTGAATGTCTGTCGGTCTATTTGTCCGGTGTAATCTTCGGAACGGCTTAATAGTAATGGGACTTTTACTGAAAGATAGAGAGGGCTTTGTATTGCTATATATGTTTTATTTCGAAAATATTTGGGGTTCCAGCGCGAAAAACGAATGCCCTTAAAAATTACACAAAATTCAAATTTACGTTTCGAAACTGATGCATAACGGCCAGTATGTAAAGGCCTTCAAAAAAGAGATAGCATGTGTCTATCTCATGAGGTACGCTGACAATACTTATTTTCATCTCAATAAAACGTACCTAGGGACGCATCCAAGCGAAGCGAGGGTAAGTCGCTAGTAATATATAATAACGTTTATATACAGTTTTATCTATATCTGCCGAGCCATTTTCACGTAAAAAGCGCCTAAGGAAAAAATAGTACAACTAAAGAACACATTTAAAAACTGTTTTTTGGGTGAAATATATTTATATGAAAATTTAACTCACCTCAACAGTGGCTAGGAAGTTTTCTTCGTGAGCTTGAAGCAATTCAGACAATATGTCGGGGGGTATATCTGGAAACAGATTATTTAATTTGTCTCGCGAAAGTTTTGCAGCTAAGTCCTGAGGTTTGCTCTTACGCAATTCAGCAACATCTTTGTGATACAATGAAAGAGCAAAGTCCATATCCATTATTTCTTTAAAATCAGGCACTTCCGGTTCTTTACCTGCTTGACTGAGTTCAGCTTCTTTCATTGCTAATTGCCTAAAAAATATATAAGACGAAATACAAAATTACTCACATAATAAAATAATTAAATATAATATAGCAATTAATATGCAAATACAAAATTTATGCAACAACAAATATTGTTATTAAAAAAAATGCTAAATATTTACAATACACCAGAATATGATGATCTGTCTAGCTATAACCAACTTACCTCGACATTTTCTTCTAGTTGAATAGAACGTTGTACCATCGAAATGGATTTAATAAAATCGTATTTACATCCTAAATTCTGCAAATGTTGCATATAAAGAAAAGCACTATTAAATTTACTTATTTTATATTGTATATAATAAATATTAGTATACGTTACCTTGCAAACTCTTCATCTTGTTGAATCATTAGTTCGGACTGTTTTGCGTCCTCTTCTAACTGATGCATTAGAGACTCCATCCATAAAGCATTTATTTCGTTTAATAATGACATAGGCATGTTTATTCTAGCATTAACATTTGCTGGATATTCCATATTACGACCAAACAATTGATCAAGCTGAGCAATAAATTCCTTTCCCAGATTAATATTTACTGTTTTCTCCACATCCTCTAAACCAACGTAGGACTCGTCGTCACTAATTTCTGTATTATCTGCTTTAGATGTACTAGGCACGACGGAGTTATTAGTATCAACTACCAATTCTCGATTTCCTGACGCACTTGGTATTTGTATTATATTACTTTCGACAGGTGGTTGGTTCGAATTTTCGAGGGTAGTCTTTTCGATGTTCACGTTTTCTTGACTATCGTCTTCACAACGACGAATTTTACGTATCTTTAAGCAATGTTGTGAGTAGTGGCTATCAGGTATAACGACATTCTGCTCTATCTGCCGCTTCAATTCCATTGAAGCTTCTGATACAACAGCATCTTTTTTAATTTTTCTCATTTGTAATGAAGGTGAAGGTGTTTTATCTGAATTCTCAGAATCTGTTTGCCGGTTTATGGATATTGGCTCGTTGTTACCCGGTAAAATACCATAAGCTGATAAACATTGACAAAGATCAACATTATGTGTCTCATCTGTATCAGAAATATCATCACCTTCATCAACTGTACCAAGTCTTTTATTTTGCACCCCATCTAGAACTATATCTACTGCCCAATTAACATCCCCGCAACAATTGTCAAAAATATCTCGTAGATCTGCCCTCGCTACAAACTTAAAAAGTTTTCTAAACGATTCAAAATGTTGTTCTTCATGTTGACACCTATGGTTGTCCGTCAAAAGGTCATTATTATTAGTAGAAGTGCTTTTATCAAGCATCCATTTTTCAGGAATTTTACTATTGGTTGAAGCCGTGTAAAATTCATTGATATCTCGTGGTACAGCGGTAATTATTTTAGAAGAATGTTTTAAATTCGAAACATCAGTATCGCCTGCTTCAACAATAGTTCCACGTGAGTTTATTTCTATAACTGGGGAAGCCTGTTGGGTTACTGAAGAAGAATTACCTTCTTCCCATGATGGTAAAAACATAGATATCTTACTCCAATCTCGACATTCCTCAGCAGTAGGAAATAATTTTTCAGCGGTCGTAGTACGCGGCCTTTTATTCTTTCTTTGAGGCTTTGAATCTATGGGTTGTTCATCATTTTTAGGGCTGTTTTTCAAGTTATTCTCCCAATCCTCACTGGCTTCCCATTCTTTTTCGAGTCTTTCCATTTCCTCCAAGGTCCGTTGGATTTCAGTAAACTTATAATTTTCATTTACTTGAACTCTTTCATCTGCCTCATTTGTATCATCAATTTGATTTGTATCATGAGTTTCACTTGTTTGGTCAGTTTCATTGGTGTCACTATTTTGTTGCCTTTCTACGTCACTGTTTGTATATTCTTTATTCTCACATACAACTGCGCTTTCTTTTTCAACATTGATTGTAGATATGCTTTCACTAAGATGAGTTTTAGATGTTGAAGATTGCGCCATTTCCTGAGATAGTTCTCTTTTTTGTATTTGTTTTGCTGCATTATCTTCAAAATTTGCACTTCTTGTTTCGCTTTGCACTGGATTTAAAAGTAAAGGCGATCTTTGTATAATAGGCGGATTATTCCTTAACACAGGAGGTTGCATTCTATGTGCATAATAACAATTAAATCTTTTCATCAAAACAGGACCTGTTATACCGTTTTCATAGTTATCTAACATTCTTCGAATTTTATGTATTGGAACATTGTGGGTATTTCTCCTTACAAGTTGGTTCGCCTTTCTTGCCCATGGTGTATTTGGTTCTACAACTTCCACAATATATCCATTTTTAACCCCTTCGACAACATAGGATTCCATTTCAAAACACTCAATATTAGTATTATCAATTATTATAGGGCTAGTGCCTTCTGACATAGCCTTCCGTGCTCTATTTTGATTCCAAGCATGGGCATCCCCAAGTCTATGTTTATTAAATACGTAAACACCTCTTTGCATAAAAAAATGATCAGTACTTAAAATATGTACGTAATAATTGTGTTGCGATTCTATGCCATACATGGCATCTATAATTTTCTTGGCTAAGAACGACTTACCACTACCGGGTACTCCTCTCATGATAATTAATATGCGCGCACCATTTTCATGTTGCGCTAAAATTTGCCTGAGTTGATTGGTCCAAAAATTTTGAGGTATATTCGATGCCGACATTGTTGGTTTAGGCATTTGCTGTAAGGGCGGTCTAGTGCTTTGGGAAGCTGCAGCATAAGAACTCACAGTTACAGTATTGAAAGGTGCTGTGTGAGAAGTACTGGAAACATTTGATACAGGCTGCATACTTTGTATAGTTGAGGTAGCTTGATTACCAATAAGAGAACTTTTATCATTTGAAGCTCTACTCTCTGTACTTTCTTCATTATTTTCCGAATCATAATTTCCATCCATAGTAATACTCATAACAGCATTTGCAGATTGTTGAACTGTTGGAAAGTAATTATTTTATTACTCATCTATTTCAGAAATTGATTTTTAAATATATTAAACAAATAAATTTGTGTTAATGTTTTTTAAAGCAGCTCATTACTTAATATACATAAAAATTAATAAGTTATGTTGTAATATCTAAGTCATTAGAAATTATTGACATTTTAATAAAAAACAATCTTTGAAACTGAATTCAATTAAAGATACTCAGTATGTATGTATGTATGTATTCAGCCCTTTTTAATTCAATGCGAGGGGGATCAGGCCATAGTCCACCACGCTGGCCAAGTGCGGGTTGGCGGACTTCACATGTCTTTCGAAAATTTGCTAGGTTTTCTCAGACATGCAGGTTTCCTCGCGATGTTTTCCTTCACCGTAAGGCAAGTGGTAATCATGTTAGAAATGATTCGCACATGAAAATATCAGAGGTGCGAGAACTGGGATTTGAACCCGCTTCACTCGGTTTCCCAAGCGAGCGCGTTACCACTGGGCTACCACTGCCTAGATACTCAGTAATGACTATAAATTATTATATATAAGCAAAATTAATAAACAAAATGAAGGGTTTTGGAACTTTAGGTTAAGTTTTTTTTTAAATTTATTTTATCAATATTTCTACCTCTTTGTGCGAACTATACATTTAAATGGCTATATCGATTTTAAAAGAGATTTTCACTACCGGAATTTGAAATCAAGTCCTATTATCTCGCGATTATAAGGAATGGCATTTATGATAGATTTGTGATACATGAACATTTCTCGATGAATTGATAAGACGTCTTAATCTATAATCTATATTACTAATTTTTACGAATATAAAACATTTATTTTATAATATATATTTGAGTGTAGATGTTCTTAAGATAACATTACATATATACGTAATGTAATCTAAGTTTGTGTTATAGATGTAGCCCAGTGGTAACGCGCTCGCTTGGGAAACCTAGTGAAGCAGGTCCCAGGTCAAATCCCGGGTCTCGCACCTCTGATATTTTCATGCGCGAATCATTTCTAACATAATTACCACTTGTCTTGCGGTGAAGGAAAACATCGTGAGGAAACCTGCATGTCTGAGGGAACCTAGCAAGTTCTCGAAAGACATGTTACGTCAGTAAACCCGCCCTTGGCCAGCGTGGTGAACTATGGCTTGATCCCCCTCGTATTGAAGGGAGGCCCGTGCCCAACAGTGGGACGTAAAAAAAGGGGCTGAATACATACATATTTAAGTGTATGTTTTTTTGACAATGTTTTTGACAATGTATATTTTTGTTATTTAGTCACAATGAAAATATGATTGTTTATAGTATAAGAATATCTCAACGAACACGAGAATGATATGCCAGTAATACTCGTATTTCCATATAATGTTATTGAAAACCATAATTATGCATGCGTAGCCAAGATTTATTCATAAAAATCAAAATATGAATAATTGATTATGAATGATAAATTTTTCAACATGGAAACGCGCAGGTAACGCGCAGCCAACACTTCCCGCCCGCACCTCTTTCGCTTCCCGCCCGGGCACTGTTAACTGCACAGTGTGCTTGCACTGCATCGATCTATCGATAGATATATAAGTACTACCGTTAAAAGGACAAATTGTATAACAAATCAACTTACTAGTATTATATTATATATGTACAATGTACATATAAGTAAAAGAATAGCGTGATTTCTTTTTTATTTTGCTTGTTTCACGTGGCGATTTTAAGTTAATTTTCGATTTAGATATTAATTAGCCTACTTTTTAGCCATTGTACAAAGAAAAGTAAAGCAGACATTTAACCAAGGATTTTCACCACAAGTCTTCATGTTAATCAATATTCAATAACGTAAATTAGCGGGAGCAATTTTTGTTTTTTTTTTTGTCATGACAATCTGTCACAATGTGGATTTTTTTTTTCTTTTTTGTATTAATTATAACAAAAATTAGTAAATTATAAAAAAATTATGAAATAATTATTAAAATATCTCAACAAATGAAAAAGCTATGAAACTTTAAAGTTGCGCATGCAGGAATAATTTCGTCACGTCACACGACCTTCGAACGGCCGAAATTTAAATAACCTACCTACTTAATTTATCAGTCATGTATATCAGTAATTGAGTTTTCAAAAAAAACACTGATTTATTAGTTTCGATCTATATCGTAATTGCATTGCGTTAAATATGATAATAATCAACATCAGGAAACTTCTTCATTGATGAAGATATCACAAAGGAAACATGCAAAGAAAAACAATTTCTTTTCTCCTTTTTAAAGCATTTAAATAAAATCTTGTTTAAAAATGTTTTTTACAATTATTTTACTTTTCTATTGTTTAGTTATTCGTATTTTTCTCAGCAAACCCTTAGATTGATTTGATACCCATATCATAGGGATTAATTTGGTATATAATTATTAATCGTCATTTTGCGGCCATATTCGATTTACAATGACGTCACTTTGCTTATTGTGTTCCGCCCATCAAACGCTTTCATTTGATGCCCATATCATAAGGGTCACTATAGAAATGATAAACCACCAGTTTGTAATGTCCGCCATATTGGATTAAAAATGGTAACATTTCGTTAATCATGTATTGTCACTAAAACCAAACTTGCGTGCCAAATTTCAGCTCAATCGGACACTGCTAAGTGGGACAAATTTAACTTGCAAAGTTTGATTACAGACAAACATAATATACAGTATATTTATTGAAAAATCTTATTGAAATATACATTATTATCGATACACAGGCCAAATCTATAGATTTTAGAATTTTTGTCTGTATGTCTGTCTGTCTGTGACCACGAGATCACGAGAAACCACTGGGCAGATTTTAATGAAATTTGGTATAATGATAGATGGTTATCTGGATCCACATATAGGATACTTTTTACTACAGGAATATATCTCATCTCCAAGAAAACTATACTAAATAAATAATAAACTAAACTGGTGTTTAATATTTATATACCATTTAAGAAACATTGTTAACACTTTTGCCAAAACTTATTAGTAGTGTAATCTAATTTCATACAGGTGTATAAACTGTATACAATCTGTTTTTAAATATATTATTATGATTTAAAAGAAATTTGGCTATTACATGGTCAAATACCATGCATTATGATTAAATAGTTAGAATTTCGTAATGCTTTTTATATGAGATAGTCGCAACATAAAAACAGAATTAGGTTTAACTAGTGAACTAAAATTTTGGTAACATAGCAATGGATACACAGGCAAACTCGCAGGCAAAACTTTGTAACTATAGCAAAAATATATTTTTGACGCAAAAAGCATTTTTTATCATAGGTAGTTTAAGGAATATACTATAAACATTTTTTAATTAAACTTGATCTATAGTATGATTAACAGTATTACAATATCACATAGACACCAAACATGCAATAAAAGAAAAATGGAATATTTAAGAATGAAAGTACTCAATTTGTTATATACCACATAAACTTAGAGCCACAACCATTACTGAAAATTAAATTTATAAAAATCACCATAAAATAAGTGTTACTCAGACGAAAGTTCAATGCAAATAAACATGGATACTGCCACCTCTCCCAGAAATCAATACAGCCATCTCCACAGACCAATCAATGCAGCTTATAATGCAACCCGGGCAAAATGTAATCAAAGGGTTTTTAACTTTAATACAAATAAAATTGAACCGTTATCAGTTCTTACATAGAGCACCATTTGTTGTGCCTAGGTGAGGATAATATGTATAAACGTATATGTAGGACCCAGCTCTGGGAAGTAATGCCGCGCATCTTCTACATATATACACATGTAAGTGCAATAAATCATAATCAATACAAACTGATGCAGCCTTAACTCTATAGAATAGTGAATACTGAGGTTACTTACGATCTCCTCCACAGCTCTCAATGATTGTGATGTACACATCTTTACTTAATACGTTTCCAAATGTATTTATTAAAGTCTCAAGAATGTTATTATAATCAATGTTTAGTTCTTGTTCCTCCATTGTTTCAAATATATCACAAACCTAAATATTACGAAAGTTCTCCCACTACACTACTAAATTGGAAAGCATAATTTTTAACCTTAATAATAAACAAATAATCAAAGCGTAATGAGTCCATTATGAAACCCATGGCGATAGCGCGAAATTGCAAAGTGTGGATAACGAAATATTATAGAGTATAGACCAAGACCATGGACGACAATAGACTTCGACAAGAAATTAGAAAATAAACATCATTTTTAAATGTCAAAAAATGACAACCATAGACAAAGCCTTTTACAAATCCAAACCCAACAAAGACAATCTGTCAGTACGATTATCGTTGTAATATCGCAAAAGAGGAAAGCCGCAAAACAAAGAAAATGGGAACAAATTATATCCATTTTCTATGTATCCGGGCACTGCACAATTTGTCATTTTAATTGAATTTTTAGTGAAAAAAATCTATCTATCTTTTATACTAAGGACCATAGCGGTAGTGACATCTAGCGGGAGAAAGTGAAAGTGGCAAAAAAATTCCCCATTGTAGTTTTCTGTGCATGATAAAGCTGAAGTAATTTAATAATATTGGAGATTAGAAAAAAAGGCGCCAATTCTGCATGCCAAGACTGAGATATACGTGAATTAAAATTTAGTAAATATATTTAGTGAATTTGTTAAATAAATTATTAAAAATGTAACATATTTTTTTAATAAATCATGTGATTTATCTTATTTTATAAAAACAATTATTGTAATGCTGCATATACAAAACAATAATAATTGAATTTTTTGTCTATTTCTCTGTATGTATGGTTGTCTTTGTATATGTGTGCATTTAATGCAAAAAGTATTGAACCGATTTTAACTAAACAAATTTGTAACGCTAGCAAACCTTATTAGATATATCAAAACAATGTATTATAGAAAAATGTTGGTATTAAAAGGCCTACGCAAAAGTCCTCAATAGCATAATATTATGTCTATCTTCCAAAGTTCACTCACAATAACTATTTTTATTTATTCAAAAGTAAAACGTAGTCAAAGAGACAACAAAGCGAAGCGAGGATAAGTCGCTAGGAAATAATAAGATCGATAATACATAAAAAAATTTATAATAATAATTTGTTTTCAATATTTTATTTCTATTTGGTAAAAGAGATTAATGATTATTCATTGCAACAACTAACAATCATAATATATCTACAAAATAGCGTAACAATGAAAAAAATACACCACAGAGAAGAGAAGTAATACTTCATCATTCTAATAATAATAATGGAGGGTGGTAGCCCTCCATAGCTAATAATTTACTAAACGGTCTGTTGTGTGGTCTGTGGTTATAACAGCTACCATACCAATTATACAAATTTTATGTGATTTGGGAGTTGTGACCAGTGTAGCCAACTTAGGGGGGGGGGGGGGGAAATGTTTAGGGGTTTTGATAGGGGAAAAAAAATTAAGGGATTTTTTGGTTTTTTTTCTTTAATAGCATAACTTAAATATAAATAGCTTTAACGATACTTTTTATTTGTAAAAAAAAGTTTTTTTTAAATAATTAACTTTACAAATATGTTATCTGTGATTATTAAATTAATGATAAACAACGTAACACAATATCCTTAACTTTGATATTTTTAAATAATCGAACTTTATGATGAGTTAACTATTTTAATTTTTGAATTATTTTATAAATATGACATCCAGTGGTGAAGCGCTTATTGCCATAAATCATAACTGGTAACATTCTGAGTTTGTACTGGTAAGTTACCCGCGGTAAGAAAAAGGCACCTTAGATTTTTTAGGAGAGAAAAATATTTAAGGTCTTTTTTAGGGGATTATAAAGTTTCGGTTAAAGACTTCGAAAAATTATATCCCTTTTTATTATTTTCTGAGTTATCTATTGAATTTATTATTATTTTTAAATGGTTGTGTGTTATTATTGTATTAATAACCATAAATATTTTTTACGCTATTTGTGATCATTTAAAATAAAAAAAATAATTTAAAAGTTAAAAAAATAATTTAAAAGTTAAAAAAAATATAGATAAAAACATATATTTTTCAAATTATTATTTTTTTTATAGGGAGTTTTAGGGGTTTTTGAAATTACTTTTAGGGGAAAAAATTTCAAGTGTTGGTAAGACTGGTTGTGACAGCTCTTGTTGTTCCGTTCCATTTGACATTTGTCAGCCATGGTAGTATAAATATGTATAAAGTTTATGCAATATACTTTATAGTTTATGGCATATGCATGGCGCATGCCGCATGGTAGTGAGAAAAAGTGGTCTCGATACTACCGATTTTTCGGTATTTTTACCGATATGAGGTCTGTCCTACCGAAATACCGAAACGTAACGGTTTTTTCACGATTTTAAAGAAAACATAGAAAATCTCCCGATTTTACAGTTCATAGTTGGCAGCCCTTTTCATTTATGTTTTACGATACGGGGAATCCAAAAAATCCTTCAAGAGTATATTGATGATATACATATTTATTTCCGGGGCTTGGGTCTTACAACTCGATGTTTTAACGGATTCCCAAACAAATTGTATATAAAGAAGAATTCTGGGTTTTATTTTTCATTAATTTTATTAACTTCGAAGAGAAAATTTACACATTAGTAATTTAAAGTAGTCTACTCTGAAATAACTCCACAGGTTTTTTTTATATTTAAAATTAACATCTGAATATGGCAGCAATGCTTAGTATGACATGTCACCATGTTTATTATGACTTAAAGTCTGATTTTTAATTCCGCGGAATTCTGACATTTCAGAAATGTTGTCAGCTTTGAAACATTGTCACTAAAAACGGAAAGCATGTTAGCAAAATAAAAAAATAAACCTTTCTTGAATTTAAGGTTTCAATTAAAAAAACTAAGACTTAAAAAATTATTGATAGCTCTAAATTGGTAATTATATTTTTTATATCATATTATCGAAGTTAGAATAATTATTAAGGAAATAATTTTTCTATTATAGGAATTCCTGTTCAGTAATACATAGGTTGCAAGCCTTTTTTTAGGAAAACCCCTTTGTTTGTAAAATCTTTGCAATTGGCAAAATGAATTGGAAAGTACCAAAAAGACAGGTCCACAACGATCGTTCACGATTTTTTATTATTGTTTTTGGCAAGAATGCATAAACCATATTATAAAAGAAAAGGATAAAATGTGCCCTCTTAATGATTTGATGGATAGTGTGAGTGATTCTTTTATTATCCAAGTGGATAATGACGACAAGGATGATATAAGTAATAATGATTAGTAAATATTTTCATTTCTTATATTTTGTTTTATTCTGTTGTTTCATTTAACCATTAAATAAAATTACATTATAGTTAGTGTGCATTGAATGCACAAAACAATGACTATTTACAATGTCATACATATAGTTTACTTGATCTAATTCTGTTTCATATTTTTAGTTATTTTATATTAAAAAAATACAAAGCAGAAAAGGTTTATGATATCTGAATTGTCAAAGAATGACACCTGTCATATTTCCGAGGAATTAAAAATCAGACTATAGACACACCATTGATACCTATTTGTAAACTATTTTGGTATCTTTATGGTCATATCAATATCTTTTTAACATTAATAATAATGGAAATAATAATAAATAAACTTTTTTTGATCGAATATTGTTTTTTTTTCATCTACCGATTATGGGTCCAAATATACCGATTTTTGTAGGCAACTCTACCGATTTCGCACATTGACGTTCGAGATCGAGACCACTGGTCCTGGTCCACGACTCCTAGGGGTGTCCATTTTGAAAAAACATCGAAGTTTTTTTCGATTCGATAAATCAGAACTGTACATCGATGTCTTTCGATGTATCGGGTGAAAACATCGATATTTTGTACGCAATGAGTACTTTTTCAGGGTTTCGTACCCAAAGGGTTAAAACGGAACCCTGTTACTAAGATTTCGCTGTCCGGTTGTCACCAAGTTGTATCTCATGAACCGTGATATTTACAGTCTAAATTTTTACAGGTTATATATTTCTGTTGCCGCTATAACAACAAAAACTAGGAAATAGTATTCACGGGACACGGACCAGATATGCTACTTTAACACAATTTTTCATGCAAACCATCAATAATTCAAACATTGTTATATATAAAAAAAAAATTATTAGTTAGAATTTTTTTTATAAAAAATTAGAAAAATCTTTATTGTTATTGACGTAAAAACAAAAAAAACATCCGCAATAATTTTGCTTAGTCTGCCATGTCTTATTCCCAGTGTTCTTTTGAGAGACTTTGCAAAAACAACAGTTTATTTAAACGTTTGCCTTTCTGTCTGTTTCGTTGTTGATTGACGATTTGTGCCGCTTTAGAAAACAAACGTTCAGATGGGACTGAAGTTCCTACCATGGTATTTGTATGCAATTGTATGAAGTTTAGGGTGCTGAATCTTGAGATCATTCCAAATTTCTAAAGGGTTCTCATTTAATCTGCCTACTGGGCTCCGTAAATAAATAGATAGTTCATCTGAAATAGAATCATCAGATTTCACCGTTTTCCAGCTATTTTGGACTAATTTGTGGTGATCTTCTCTCAGAGAACATTTTTACATAGAAGCTCGCTGGCCGACATGACATGAGCAGTTTTTTTTTGTCACTGACTCGTGCGCAGTGCTGCCAACATAATTTTTTAGTTCACGTTGGCCGCAATGACATTATATTGTCAGTCCACTATTGAATAATAAACTTTTCTTTTTTAAATAAAGAAATAGGAAAAAAATTTTTTAGGTAAAATTTTAGTGGTCGAACTTGAGTTTTTATGAAATTAATTGGTTATAATCGATTCGATGTTTTTCTAGTAAAAACTGAAAAAACATCGATACATCGAGTATATCGAAAGCATTTCAAAACATCGGATCGATTCGATGTATCGCATTGTAAATATCGATGTTTTCAATGCATCGATGTATATCGAATATCCCTAACGACTCCACTGTATAGATAGGCCAACTCGGGTTTTTGCTAACCCGAGTTAACACGAGTTAAAATCATGGTAACTCGAGTTCAACCCGAGTTAAGTAACTCGAGTTAGCATGATAAGTGTTATGAAATTAATACATTCTTTCATTCTATGTCGAGTTGAATACATCTACGAGTATTCTTTTCAAGTTTTTGACATGTTTTGACTATTGGTTACTAAAGTGACTCTTTTTAAACCATAGTAAGTGAATAATTGAAAGAAATTATATTATTATTATAATGTATTTTCTTTAATGTACAGTGTTTTACAGTTTATCGATAAAGAAGTAACTTCCGACAAGACAAGTGCGAGTCGGACTCGCCCACCGAGGGTTCCGTACAAATGTGTAGGAAATATGTTTAACTTTAATTTGCAATTTACAACAAGTAAAGGAAAATTTCAAAAAATAAAAAAAGTTCAAAGTTAAGGTAAATTTTGGTTAATTACAAGTTTTTGTGAAAATCTAAATTTGCCCATATCTTTTTATCGTGTTGACTCAGGACCTTGATTTTATACACCCAATAGCGAGAATAGACCTTAGTATCTGGTATACATTTTAACTTGCTAGGTCCACCCATTTCTTAGAAAATCGGCGGTAACACACGGACATTGTCCGTGAGTGATCTTATATGGAATCCTTTTTTATTTTTTGAGTTACGGAACCCTAGAAAACAATAAAAATAGCTTAGCTTTTTTGGCTTAGGCTAAAGAAACTAGAATAAAAACACCAGTTCTCAAATAATAATTTGATAAATTTAAAGTTTAAACATGAAAAAATAACAACGACATTAATATTAAAATATAAATTAGTCTATAGTAATATTAAAATAAAATGTTGGTAGATAGAGATACTACGAGACGGTGGTACCGTACCCGGTCTACATCCGGGTGTCTCCCTAGGTACGTTTTAAATACATATGTAGTTAAAAATAGTTATTGCGAGTGTACCTTAGGAGATAGATATTTTTACTATTGGGACCTTTTTAAAGATCTACAATTTTCTATTACCTATCTTGTTTTTATGTTTAGTTAGTATTGCTTGTAAATTTCTGTGGATGACTCAGTAGAAACAGTTTTTGTGTTTTTCCGTGGGAAATAACAGGTTTTCTGTAGTAAAATTTATTTACAATCGGTTAAGTACTTTTGGCGTGAAATGCATATAGATATACAAACAAACAGACGTGCAGACAATCAGACAAACTTTCAATATAAATTTATTATATGGTACTATTAAGGAAAAGTATTTGGTTTAATTTTTTGGGTACTAATCTATTTCAGCGAGGCGGTATATTTAACAGTCATGACAAAGGTTTGTTAAAGAGTTTCCTACAATGTTTTGTGTTGATCAAGTTGTTTTTTTTAAATATGATTCTTCAATGTAGTTGTATTACCGGAATATTTATATGATTCAGAACACCATTTAAATTTACACTCGTTACATTGAACTGGTGCTTCAAAAATTACCCAAAAAAGGGATGTTTTTTTTGGCCCCGGTATTATCGAAATAATCACAATTAAACTTTTTATAAAGAATTCAAACAAGAATTAATAAATTATTAAATTTAAGAACTCGTTATTTAATAAAAATGCAACTTTTTTGGAGACTTGCTACCTACTGTTTCTAATGTCACTTCGTTCGCGCGCAAATATTCGTAAGCATACGGGTAAAGTCGGCTTCTCTCGAAAAGCAAACTTCGTTTCGTGTATGAAATGTAAAACGAAGTTCCTTAAGAAACGAGGTTCGTGTGTCGGTATCTAACCCGAGTTACGATCGGTCGAACTCGGGCAAACTCGACGTGACGCTAACTCGGGTTAACCCGAGTTGGCACTTGGCAATAAGCATGGAAATGATTGCTACTTTTAAATCATTATCACGTGATGAAATTACAACAATTTTTCACGTGATTTCACCTGCTACTTTTCACGCATAGATTTTTGATTTCGACGGTCTGGTGTCACACTTTATATTATTTGCTATTAAAATGTAGTATGAAATGTCACCAATGGCGCTACTGATGTGATATGGAGCAGAGATATAGATCTGACGTAGTTGCATACGTACATGGTGCTTTGAATGAACCTATTTTCAAACAATGAACTTTCCCTCATACTTCTACAGGCTTGGGACTGACAATGTAAAATTAAATGAATTTTAAATATATCAGAGTAATCACACGGTAAAATTGTATTAAGCTAAGTTCCATAATTACATTGGCGTATTTAAAAGTTCATTGTTTTTATGTACAATAAGAATTTTTATAAAAGAATTTTATACACTTTTTTTTTGTTTTTCTTAATTTTTTTTAATTTGTTTATAATCATTTTTTTTGCTTTTTGATTTTTTTGATGATTGATTTTTTTATGAGATATCTATATACAATAGTCTTCATTGCTTTTTAAAAATACAAGTTCCGCTGTTCGTTTTCTGCTTAATCGTGCTCTTTTTTGGGTTGCAAAATTTCCCGCTTTTGAAAATACTCTCTCACACTCCACTGATGTCACCAAGATGTGACAGTGCTCATGAAATATTTCCGCCAAATTGGGGTACATATAGGAGTGAGATTTCCACCAAACTAATGACGAAGAATCGCGCGGAAGCACTGGTTCATTAATAAACATTTCTAGCTCGTTCTCAGCGTTGGTGGTTATGTCTGTACGTATTACACATAATCATTCAGTAAAAATTATAAGTATTTGTTGGATAAAAAACTAAAAATGTGCTCTAAATTTAATTGTTGTTTCTAATTTAAAATTATTTCTAAACAATATTTCTAAGAATCCGAAATCATGCAACTCGAAATAAATAAACTCCCCAATTTACTGATCAACGGTATTAACTGAAAATTGTATTTTGTTGAATAAAAAATCAATAAAAACATCAGTACGAAAATGTATACGGAAAATGCGAGTAACGAAATGCATTCGTGAGTAACGTTTAGGTACTCGGTACTAGATGGCGTACCCGTTACTCAGTAACGAATACATACGGTTTGCTACAGCTCTAGATTTCACCAAGTTGTGATTTGTAGCAGCCACTATGAATTTAAGTAGCAGGTGTGACGCGTGATTACGCATTTCACGTGATTTTTCACTTGCTACTCGTGAAATGTCCCATCCCTACTTGGCAAACCGAGTTGACTTGACAGTTGACACATCGCTACTCCACAGTCCACTCACCACTGGTGAGAAATGAGAACTCAGAATTGTCAATCGGTTTTAACTAAAAAAACTTGTTAATTAGTGTCGTTTGCAGTTTTTTTTTATAATAATACTTCTGCCTTTTGTGTATAAAGAATAATGAATTTAAAATAATATTTTTATATATAATAAAGAACAAAATTACTTCGGATAGTTTCATTCTTTTCTCGAACAGGCATAATTAATACATTTGAAAATGGCGGATAATTTTCAAAACAATAAAACTATGGCATCCGTAATGATGGATTATGAGTTTAAAATGAAAACACAAACTGAACGGTCTAAAGTTGAAGATTTATTCGATTACGAAGGATGTAAAGTTGGTCGGGGTACTTACGGTCATGTTTACAAAGCTAGAAGAAAAGATGGTTCTGATACTAAGGATTATGCTTTAAAACAGATAGAAGGAACAGGCTTATCGATGTCGGCTTGTAGAGAAATCGCGGTACATATGTTCTGTTATATATATCAAATTCACATTAGAATTAGTGCAACAATAGTTGTATAATTTATTAAATGATCTATGATCTATAGTGTTATTTCCTTACATTCATTTTTTAAGGAAAATTTTGTTGGTTTTATATATTTATTTTAAATTTTCTTCCTTACAGTTGCTCCGTGAGTTGAAACACCCAAATGTAATTAATCTGATTAGGGTATTTTTATCCCACACTGATCGTAAAGTTTGGTTATTGTTTGACTATGCAGAACATGATCTTTGGCACATCATTAAGTTTCATAGGGCAGCTAAAGCCAATAAGAAGTCGGTCATGGTTCCGAAAGGCATGGTGAAGAGTTTATTATATCAGATATTAGATGGAATACATTATTTACATTCAAATTGGGTTTTACATAGAGACTTGGTAAGACTTGTTAATTATGTGAATAGCCTAATAAAACTGGATTAAAAAATATATATAATAGTTGCTGAGCTAATGAGTTCATGCTATAATTGTTAATTTATAAATAGTGTTATATTTCCAGAAACCAGCTAATATTTTAGTAATGGGTGAAGGTCCTGAAAGAGGTCGGGTAAAGATAGCAGATATGGGATTTGCAAGATTGTTTAATGCTCCCCTAAAACCATTAGCTGACTTAGACCCTGTTGTTGTTACATTCTGGTATAGAGCACCTGAGTTGTTATTGGGTGCTAGGCATTATACTAAAGCAATTGGTATGTGTACCTTATTTAATCTTCTATACAACTTAATTAAATTGAACGTACAACAGCTTTTTACTAAATGCATATGAAAGTAATTAGGGTACTTATAAGAAAAATCATTTTTTTAATTTTTTGTTTGTCTGTTCCACTAATCTGCGAAACGGTTGGATGATTTTCACTACCAGATAGTTGATGTTATAATAAGGAACTTAGGCTATTTTTATTTTAGAAAAAGAATTGGGAATCCATGCAAAAAAATTAAAACCTATAAAATTGTGATGATAGTACCTAGGGTTGCACCCGAGTGAAGTGAGGGTAAATCTCTAGTCATATTCTTAATAAAATATTATTTAAAAGAGTAATTATTGAGACAACATTGTGGGTGTCCTTCTCTGCCTTTTTATAATATTACTATAGTAGTTTTTAAAATAAATATCTGTATAATTTAGTTTCATGATATTTTTAGATATTTGGGCAATAGGCTGTATATTTGCGGAGTTGTTAACTTCAGAACCTATATTTCACTGTCGTCAAGAAGATATAAAAACTAGTAATCCATATCATCATGATCAATTGGACAGGATATTCAATGTTATGGGTTTCCCTCAAGAAAAAGACTGGGAAGATATAAGGAAAATGCCTGAACATGCCACTTTAGTTAAGGACTTTAAGAGATCTAAGTAAGTTTATTATTGCTGTTTAGACATTTTTTATTTTCAAATTTTAAAAAAAGCAATAAAACCTGTAGTTACAACAACATCAGAAGGTAGAATGGATTCAAGCAAGATTATCTTGTATTGTATGTTGATAAATTATTACATTTAAATATTAGATATATTTGAATTTATTTTTCTTTATTTTTTAGATACAAATAAATAAAATAACAATACAAAAATAATATACAAAATCAAAATATTATCAAATATGCATCAAAAGTGCCAAAACATGTCAAAACAAAAAAATTATATCAAATAGTAATATTTTTTAAGTTTCATTATTAGAGAGGGAATATGGCAGTATATGAATTTTTTATGTCCTAAATACCAATTTACATATCCTTTATAGAGTAAATAGATTTTGCTGTAAAAGTCAAATATCATTAATCAACTAAGTTAAATATGAATAAATTATAAAAAGAAATAATAAATATTGTATCAAACTATCTCTTCAGATTTTGTTGCGGAGTTATTTTGATTTTTGGTTCCCGGCGTTTCAAATGCTTTACAGCGATCATGGTCACGGGAAAGACTAAGTTTTTAAACATCTTAAGGGCATTATATAGTTGTACAGACAGCCTTTAAAATGTCAAATATTCTCGTAAATCTAAGAAAGTATTAAATAGTAGCAACTCACCCTTGCTCAGCTCCAGTTTGTCCCTACTTACGACCCATATATTGACCCGGATAACCAGCTATCATCATACTACATTTCATCAATTCTATCCAGTGGTTTTCCCGTGATGCGGTAACAGACAGACAGACAAAAATTCTAAAAACTATAGATTCAGCCTCTGTATCGATAATAAAGTCTATTTCAATAAGATTTTTCCAAAAAATAATGAATGTACAGATTCGGCTGAGTTAAAATTTTATTATATGTATAGATTATGTCACCTTAAAATAATAATATTATTTTTATTTGCAGCTATCAAAACTGTTCTCTTAGTAAATATATGGACAGGCATAAAATAAAACCAGACAGCAAAGCATTTAGTCTCCTACAAAGGTTATTATTAATGGATCCAAATAGAAGAATAACATCTGAACAAGCAATGCAAGATCCATATTTTTCAGAAGACCCTTTACCAACACAGGTAGCGAGAATTGTTATATTTATTTTAAATTGAAATTGTGTTTGTTATTTTGTTTGTTCCATCTCACAAATATTAAGAAATATTTCAAGTATAAAAATGAAAAACAAGCGACTCACTATCGCTCCGCTCGAGTTCGTCCCTAAGTACGTTTTAACAGTCTGAGAAATCTCAGAGATGAGATATTTTCCTAAAGTAAAGGTAGGCAGTGGTAGCCCAGTGATAACGCGCTCGCTTGGGAAACCGAGTGAAGCGGGTTCAAATCCCAGGACTCGCACCTCTGATATTTTCATGTGTGAATCATTTCCAACATGATTACCACTTGCCTTACGGTGAAGGAAAACATCGTGAGGAAACCTGCATGTCTGAGAGAACCTAGCAAGTTTTCGAAAGACATGTGAAGTCTGCCAACCCGCACTTGGCCAACGAGGTGGACTATGGCCTGATTCCCCTCGTACTGAAGGGAGGCCCGTGCCCAGCAGTGGGACGTTAAAAAGGGCTGAATACAATACAAAAGCTATCCCATATGTTGACCCGGATAACCAGCTATCATCATACCAAATTTCATCAAAATCTGTCCTGTGGATTTCTGGTGTTGCATTCTCAGATAGACAAAATTCTAAAAACTAGGGTCAGCCCCTGTATTGATAATTCTATTTTAATAAGATTTTCTATAAAATATTTTGATATTCAGATTCAACTCAGAATTTTATTATAATAATGTATAGATTACTTTATAAGAGTCATAGTAATAGTATGATGTTAGCTTTTGATTAATGTTGAAAAATGCATTTATGCATACCACCACACAGGTGATTATGTAGGACTCACCGAAAAAAAAGTCAGTACTAAAGAAAAGTCAGTAGTAAAGAAAAGTCAGTACTACCTACTTAAACCCAACAAAACCTCTCCCGTCTTAATGGGGCGTCGCAGGGTCGCTTACGCACTCTGCTAGGTCTGTCGAAGCAACCCTACATATCCTATACCTAACATAACCATGGGGTTGCTCCCACGGTCCACTCTGCTATTGAAGAAGTACCAGGAGCAACTCTCATGGTACACTGCCCACCGAGGTGGGCTGGGCTCCTAGTACATTTCTTAGCTTCGCGCCTGGCTGGATTGCCAGCCATACACAGTGCCGTATTGAACCTGGGCAATGTAAGAAATGCCGCCCCATTTTGCATAAAATGGATAAAGTTAAATTTTTTTAAATATTAATTATTGATTTTTGACAAATACAAGAAAATAATTTGTTAACGTTTTCAATTTTTTCAAAAAACTGACTAGTTATTTTTTTTATATTCATTTTGTGGAAATTAAAAATACTTTTCGATAACTCGATCTTTTATTTTATTCTTCGAATTTTGGCGCCCCTGAAAATTTGCCGTCCTGAGCACTAACTAGGCCCGAGTGCCCCTAGTGTAAATTCAGCGCTGGCCATATAGATGACCGATTGCAGATCGTAAGGTCCTGGGTTTGAGTTCCGAATCGAGCTAAAACTATTTCTGACGTGAAATAATCAAACAGCTAGGAAATCATTATCTCTCTCTGGTTGTCGTTTTTGTCCTACAGTATCATTACACAGTATAAAACAAAGTCGCTTCCTGCTATCTGTCTGTTCCTTTGTATGCTTAGATCTTTAAAATTTGATTTTGATGCGTTTTTTAATAGATAGAGTGATTCAAGAGGAAGGTTAATATGTATAATACATGCACTATATGTATTATAATAATACAGAAAAGCCGAGACATTTAAAATTTGTATTTCATACTAACCATTAAAATGTACCTAGCTAGTGTGTCATATGAGAGTTACACGAATAGAAAGTGCACTTGTATAGGATTATGATTACTTTTGTTTTTTTTTCTTACAGGATGTATTTGCGGGATGTCCAATACCTTATCCAAAGAGAGAATTTCTGACTGACGATGATCAAGAGGATAAAAGTGAATCGAAAGCTCGACAAAATCAACAACAACAACAACAGACTAATGTATGTGCAATCGTTTTGTATTATAATTTTAAAAATATCTTTTAAGTAAAAGGGACCGTTTATAAAATAAATATGTTCTAATTTTTTAGTTATTTATCAGAACTCTGAGGATTTTTTAAATGTTCCGAAACATCTATTAAACACATTATGACGGAAATATATACGTAGAAGTGTTTATATATTCACAAATATAAAACGAATGTCTTTCTTTCATAACAAAAAAAATATATTTAAAAACAAACTTTTTATGAACGGCCTCAAACGAAATGACGAAAATATTAAGAAGAAATCTTAAATCAGCTTTCCATAATTTTACACGATAATAGAATGCGTACTCAGTAATAATTATAGGTGACGCTATACTCATTTTAAGATTTGTTTATACCCAATAATTTAAAATACTTAGTCACAATTTGTTATGATTTTGCAATTGCTTTATATATTCTATACATAGTATGTTCATTTTGTTTGTTATAAGATAAAGTAGTTAATCAGCTTCTGGGTATGCCCCTATTCTATTGTCTGTTCACGTAAAACAAAATAGCTGTATAATAGTGTCTATGGTGTAATAATAAGTTCTTATATTTTTTCTTTATTGATATAAATGTAGGCTGTATCGCAGAGATATTGTAAAAGTGAAAATCTAGTTAAATCATAATTTACCTAACGTTGTCCAGTGGTATTGTAAGAAAAGAAAACTGTTGATAACACTCTAGGCAATTAAGATTTCACGATTTTTATAATTTACCTTTAACAGTTATATGAATGTGAATGTTTATTTTCTTTTGTATTCTATATAAAGTAATAAATTTTATATATTACAGACTCAGCAAAACCAGGTACAAGCTAACAGCCACGACCACGCCGCCAACAACGCTAAGAGAATGAGGATGTCAGGTACATGAACTATATATTATCTATATGTATACATATAATAAAATTGCAACTAAACTGAATCTGTACATTAACTACTGTAATACCCTATAGGTTTGGGTCGAAAACCTATATGGTAGTTCCCGTTGACCTAGAATCATGTAATTTGGCATAAAGCTTGCTAGTCTTACAGCACAAATAAAGGCAAAATTCCAAAAAATAAAAAATGTTGAAATAAAAGTTAAACAGATTTACAAATTTGTACGGAACCCTCGGTGGGCGAGTCCGACTCTCACTTGTCCGTAATTTTATTTAAATTCTTGTCTGCTCGTTCCGTATAATCTCTAAAACGGCACGGACTGATTTTGACGGGACTTTCACGGGATGTTATAGGGAGTAACATAGGCTACTTTTATTTTGGAAAAAGAATTAGGGTTCCTCTTAAAAAATTAAACGTACCACTTTAACATAAAACTGTTTGTCACCAGGCCCGAACCAAGGCAACAACACAGGCGGTGGCGGTCAGCAAGAGTTCCATCAACAACAGCAGATGATGTTCAGCAGTCAACAGCAAAACGCCGCCTCGCAACAACAGGGCAACTTCCAACAACGGTTTTAATTTATTACCCGACAGCGCGACGCAAAGAAGGGTAATGTGTTTTTCAGCCTATGTATGTATGTATGTAGGTTTGTACCTTTGTGGCACTATTTAGACCAAACGGGTGGGCCGATTTTGATAAACTATGTCAAGATAACTATGTCAAGTGGAGTATCGTTAAATAGGTATTTAAAATTCGTTTTTAGGTTTCTTTCATCATTTTTCAGTTTAAATAACAGTTTAGGATATATGATGATTTATTTTGTTACTAGCGACTTATCCTCCCTTTGGTCGAGTGCATCCCTCGGTACGCGGACTTTGTTCACAATTTCATGGGTTTTAATTTGCGCGGAACCCTAATTCTCTTTCTAAAATAAAAGTAGCCTAAGTTACTCCTTATAACATCAGCTGACTGCCAGTAAAAGTCCCGTCATAATTGGTCCAGCCGTTTTGGAGATTAGCCGGAACAAACAGACAGACAAAAATTTTAAAAATTGTGTTTTTCTTAAAACATATATTTTGTACAAATTATAATATTTTCGGCTTTTTTTTTCAAAGACTTGATGATTATTCATTAATTATATTTTTAACCGAAGTATTAAAAATAGGGGTTGATTTAAAATTTAGCTGAGGACGTCCTTTGAAATTCTTGTTTCGTAGAATTTTAAAGAAATTGTACATACTAATTTTTGATTTTTTAGGTCTGCCGACAGAAGTGAAAACTTAAAAATATAAACAATCAGTTGTTATTTTTGGATATTCAAATTAATTGTTTGATCTGAAATTAAAATTTCTAAATTAAAACTGTTTACATTAATCCGGTTTTGACATCTATCGGCACTCTGAGTGTTAGCGTTGACACGTCACGTGACCATGTCGATGACTATAGAAGTTTTCACTTCAAAAATCTTTTCTTATTGCGCTAAAGTAATAAAAAAACCTTGATAGTAATTTTTTTGTAAATAGAGATGTATTACATTATAAACTAATTTAATATTTGAACTTCAAGAAACTATATCAGTACTAAAAATAATGTATTTCCTTTCCTTTAAATAGACTGAATGGTAATATTGTAAATACTATAATTTAAGGTAAAAAATAAAGATTTTGAATATAAAATATTGTTTAATTTGTTCTTCATTAAAAAGACATAAAAATATCTAAAACATAATAAAACGAATAACTTACAAAATGGACGGAGTCGATAAGAATACGTGTGTTACTTATTACTAAAAGGTGGTTTAAAATTAAGATAATAATTAGAATTATGGTTTTTGTCGTTAGATGTTTTGTCGTTTTTAGGGTTCCGTATCTCAAGTACAAAAACGGAACCCTTGAAAGGTTATTTGCGTGTTCTGTCTGTCACTTCCTTTTTCTCTAAATCTAGATGAAAGAAGCTAAGTGACACTGATGGGTAAGTAAATAATTTTGATTTTCAGAGGAGATAGTAATTTTAATTTAGGGGGTCATATTAGAAATAGAAAAAAATATCAGTCTCAATAACAATCCCTTTCATTTGCTATTATATATGGCAATGGAAGTTGGTGGTATGTATGTGCATATTACATAAAATAATAAAAGGTGCCGTAGCAAATAATATTTTTTTTTAAATATGGGTTAAAAAGGTATTAAAGATACATATTCCGATATTGTACGGAACCCACTTTTACGCAAGTTTCGCTCGTTTTAAAAAAATATAGTTAGGTTTTTATTGATGAACTGACACTTAAAAAATAATTTACATATTATCTCTTGAACGATCCTCCTTGAAGACCTATGCGAGTTTTCTTCCCATATTGAAATATATTAAAATATGTATGTACCTACCTATGTGTAATGGGAATTTCGTCGACAGGAATGAAAATGGTCTGTTCTTTAACCTATAAAACTACGTGTGGTTCTTTCACTAAAATTGATTGGTTGAATCCTTGATAAATAAAAGGTAATTCCCCCAATTTTATTAATATTTTATAGGTAGGTACAGCTTCGTAGACGGCATATGATACCTCCACGACCGCGGACACGCCGGCGTTGCAGTTAACAATAGATTTCTTAGACATTTACCTGGAGGTGTTAAGATATTGTTAGCTTTTCCATTTCATAAACGACTAGCTTATATGAGTGATGTTATGACTAAGTAGATACTCTATTATTTATCTTAAAATGCTACCTATAAATATTTATAATTTAACGTTTTACAGGTGAAAATTCCATAACAGTCTCTGGAGCATTGTGCGTTATTGTGTATTGGGCCTTATTCAAATCTTCTCTGTTTAATTTGTCTTTGTCTAAAGGTCGAATTCGTGTTCGTAATCTTCCGCAACGACCGTCGGCCACTTTGTCAAATATTTCTGGAAAAAAAACAAAAACATTTATGAACAATACACAAATATAGAATTTTTGATTTGCTATTAATTAATTATCGAAATATTGGCAACATTTCTTTAAATATTAGGGACCTCTATATCTATGTCAGAACATTTTATAGCAAGCGCTAAATTTTTTCGACATGCCCACAGAATACCTACGTTATTAAATAACGAGGTAATAATATTTTTTTATATTGTTAGAGATTATAAGCATCGAAGAAAGTTTATATTTTATAATATACCCGCGGCTCACTCTCGCTTCGCTCGGGTTCGTCCGTAGTGAAAAACAAAAACAAATCTATCCCACGGGAACTGTACAGACTATAATCAATCTCTGTGCCAAATTCCATCCAGATCCGTTCAGCCGTTCTAGCGTGTTTGAGTAACAAACATACATCCATCCAAACTTTCGCATTTATATGTAGTAAGATCATTATACAAATCGTTTAATGATATAAGTATACCATATATTGTAAGGAAATGCGCTATGATTAGAAAGCCTTACACTATTAATATTGCTAAGCATATTATTGTGCAACTAATCGTGTATACAATAACAAAAATATTTATAAGATTTTTTTGTTAAGGAAAATCTATTCAATAACTTTACACATTCGTATAGAAAGCGCATTTTAAACAGACTAGAGAGTGTACGTAACTAGAATAACAAGTTGTATTTTAACCTCATTATACGTGCAACAAAACAAGTTATTGTAAATGGGGGGATGTCTGTCTGTCAATTAAAATTGTGAATGCAAACATAATTTATGACCATTTGATTTAATACTTACGATCTCTTCTGAATGAATTATGGCATGCCATGTGACATAACGACGCGAACCCTTTCAATCGGTCAGGATCGATGGGGAACACCCCCATCGGGCTACCACAAATTGGCTCTTTTCTACCATTGCAAGAATCTAAACATGTTTCGTAATCGTTCTTTCTCCTGTTTGACTTGCGTCTTCTTGTTGTTGTAGGTCTTCTAGTGGTTGTTGTGGGGTTTATTTTAATATTCGTTATAGAACCCTTAGCAGATTTCACCCGCACAGTTAGCAAGGGCCTTCGAGTTTCAGGTCGTATCGTTTGAGGCAATTGAGTATTGTTGGCCGGTGGTGCCGAGACAGAACTTGTATTGATTATAGGGATGTTTGATATTGGAACAACCGTGTTACCATTCCAACTGCTAGGTATTAAACCAATTGGTATTATTGGCAAATTTGATGGGTTTTGATTTTGACGTAAAACAATCGTAGGTCCTTCCGTAGTTTGTTGAGTAGAAGTTGGAGGAGATGGGGTCGATGTAGTCGTAGACGACGTTTCTGTCACAGAAGCTGTAGTCACTTCTTCTGTAGCAACTTGTGTGATACTTTGGACTGGGGCAGATGTAACTATTGGTTGTTGAAATAATTGATTTGTTTGCTGTCTAGGATCGTAAACTAATACGAACGTAGGTACGTTAGTATTTGGTCGAAAAATGTCTTGTTGCTGCGGAATGACTTGTACAATTTGTGGGGCTTGTTCTGTCACAACTTCTTGTGTTGTTGTAATAGAAGGTGTAGTTGATGTAGTTACTGTAGTTGAGATCGCCGGCGAAGTTGTTTCCCTTGGACTTATTTGTGTAGAAATTGCTGGATTTTTCGGTATAAAAGTTAAGTCAGTAGTGAATATTTCAGTTATAGGCTTTGGCGTGTAATTTGGATCGTTTATCAAGTTTGCCGCGTACCATTCTGTGTTTGATATCTCGGCTCGACATAGTTGTAACACTGAAACAAAATATTTTTAATTAATTTATTGTAGCCCTTAAATATTATTATTAATGTCATTTATGCGGAAATGTTATTTATTAATCTTCTTTTACGTAAAAGTATTGCCAGCGTCATTTTTTCCATAGAAATAGTCTATGAGAAAAGAGCCCAGGGTGATATAGACTGCTTTAGTTATACACATGACGACATGTTTGCTCAGTTTTAGTGACTCGACTTGTTGTGCCAGCGGTCGTGGGTACGAGTCCCACTGGGGGCATTCATTTGTTTGATGAACACGAATGTTTGTACTCCTACTCCAGTCAATAGGTATATATATTTATAATATTAGGTATGTATGTATTTAAAATTATATGTGTAGTGTATCAACTTTCTGGTATCCATAACACAGGCCTCGCAGCTTACCATGAAATGCATGCATGCTTAGCAACTAGATGGTGCTGTGTGTTAAATGTCCCAACAACATATTGTATATTATGTATGTTTTTGGGACATTTCCGGTATATATCGGAACATCAAATGTACCCGTAGAATATTAGATTTAGTCTAAAGTATTTATGTATAGTTATACGTAGATATAACAACAAGTTTGTTGACTCATATGTCTTATTTGCTGATCGTCACATCACAGCGGACGAACAGGTTTTCAAGGTCCGCTTTTTGCGATCAGTCTCCCTAAGGTCAAGTCCCTCGGTTGCTGACGAGAATGTTTTGTTATTTCATTGATCACTTCAATAAACAAACCCTTGTACTTAAGTAAGTTAATAAACGACCACATAAACAAAATGATTCCAAAAATTTCTTTGTAAAATGTTATTTGCAATAAACCATGAAAAGTACTTAAAAACAACATAAATTCCAGAAACAACCATCATCTTTTACTAAAGAATTAATGCTACCTTTTAATTGTTATACTAAAGTAAAAACATACAGGAATATGATAAACGTGTACAAACAATCGAATTCGACAGATTTATAATATTTTAGTACCTATAATTCCTACCTACTTATTATGAATTTATATATATATATATATATATATATATATATATATATATATATAATATTATGTGTTTAATAATTTTATTATAGCTGTAATGATTTAAAAAAATAAAGGAACTTTCTAGAAAGAATTAAACTTTTCCTATGTTTTTACTACATATTTTCTAGAATCTAATCTAGTATTTGCTAGTTTTTAATTCAATTTCTTTAATCCCACCACGACCGCGGACACGCTGGCGTGTCAGTTAACAATAGATTTTTTAGAAATTTAGTTAATTTCTTAGAAATTTACCTGGAGATGTTAAATGGAAAAAATAATGAACACGTTATGTTAAACTACGAGATATGTTTAGAAAATTGCGTACCTACTCTGTGAATTTATGAGACAATAAAGATATCGTAAACTTATACTGGTATGAATGGAAATATACTATAGCTCAAGTAGGTACCTACAGTTCATTTCCATTTCAGGCTTTTCAACGGTATAAAAGATTGAGCATAGCATGCTTTTACGGAGTAGCTTAAATGAAACTTTAACTTAAATATAATAGGGTGACTTTTTAAATGCATCGATATGAATGAGTAGTGAATGGCTTGGAAGGGATTCATCATGACGCAAGAATGTTCTCTTTAATGGCACAGATTATATTATACAGTGTACTTGGTAACGGGCCAGATAGTAAAAGGTATGAATGTTGATATATAAAAAGGTATGCCTCTTATAGGTTTATAGACTTAAGTAAACAATGGTGAATGCAAAGTCAATACAATACAATGTACATTGTAAATGTAGGTACTCGAATTTTATTTTATAACTAGCGACTTATTTTCGCTTCACTCATGTACGTTCCGGGTTGGTTTTTGTATTTATAATATTTTATACCTTTTGGCTAAATTATTTATTATTACTAACAGCCGAAGTTTTACTCCAGGTCATAGTCTATTTGTGTAGTAAACATCCAACCGTTTCAAACCAAAGAAGTGACAAACACAGACACAGTCCAGATTTCACATCTATAATAGTTTTTTTTGTCAATGCAATCATGCCCGTGAGTTGCTCCGTTGTTTCTTAAAAGAAGGAGAATCCAACAAACATTCTTTTGAATTTTTCATATTACTAGAAAAAGGCTATAAATATCTCCTTATATTACGTAACTAAAATAAATAGGTGCCTAGGCTAAAGATAATACTTAAATAATATAATAGAACTAGGGATGTTAATGCAATATTAATGAGCATTTTTATATACCTATTTAGAATTATTGTCTCTGTTTGTAAACAACGTACATTTATTAAAAACTAAATTATTTTCCTTTAAGAATATTTATTAGACCTCAACCATATAGACCAATGAGCCTCTTAGATATACTGGAGAACTTAGGTCGATCATGAAAAGTGACCTTCAGGGACAAGTCGTTAGAAATCTCCTTCTTAGTTCTTGTCGCTAGAAATCCACGCCATACCGTTATTTATTTGTTTATTGATATAATGTTACTCTTACTAATATTCTAGATTACTAACTAATATTATACCAATATATTACTGACTAGGTATATATAACAACATGGTCAAATGAATCAAATAAGCTCAAACCCAAAGGTTAAACTAGCATCCATTCAAGTATACCTTTAACCTGGTACCTTCGTTAGATTAACTATATTTTTTTTTAATTATTTTATTATTATTTATTACCCAGATTTCACATACGTAGTTTCATATTACTTCGACAATTACAAGTCGACTAAAATCGATTATGTTTTTAAGTTTAAGTTTCATAGAAGAATTCTTCAATCTCTACATTATTATAGATAAGAAAGCTTTAACATAGAGTCCTAATATATTTGTAGTAGATAAATCGTTATAATTGTAATTTTTATATGGTACTCGCGACTCCTTAAGCTATAATGGGCGCATAAAAGACAAACATCCAAAGAAAAATTCATTTATTTGCGCCAGAAATTAGGCATATACAGAATAAACCACCACAGTTTCATCAAAATCGGATCAATGGTTGGCATAGAGGACAAGCATAATATGAACATTCATTTTTATTTATATAGAAGAGAATTAAAACTTCAGATCCTGTCGTTGTATTTAATAATTCTTAAAGACTTCAAAAATGAAGAGACTCATTCCGGAAGTATGTCTTTATTATATTAACAAATCACTTGTTCATACCTCAAGAGTGGTCTATTTTACGGAAAATCTTCATCCGTAAAGATAAAAAAGTAATTGGGACCATATTTAATTTAAATTATGTCGAATAAAATTTTTTTTTTCACTATAATGACCCATAATCAGTCTATAATTAGGAGATTCTACTTATTTGTATAAATACATAGTCAAATAGATATTAAGTTTCTTCAATGTTCGTATAGTAAGTAATAACCGGTGGACTCTGTTAAGCCTGAGGAGTCCGACTGGATGGGTACCACTCCCTTATCTATATCTTCCGAAAACAACAATGATTGCATTGTTGTGTTCCGGTTTGAAGGATAAGGAAGCCAGTGCAATTACAGGCAAGAGCAGCGTTGGATTTACACTAGGGTCACTCGGGGTAAATTTTTACGGGCGCCAAAATTCGGGGGACGGGAAAAAATTTTTCTTCGCGTATCGAAAATGCTTTTATTATTTTCCAAAAAAATGATAAATAAAAAAATATTTGTTAGTAGGTAGGTAGGTACATTTTTCGAAAAATTGATTTCATTTGTAACTTTTTTTTTGCATTAAAAAATAATAATAAAAAAAACTTTATCGCAACTTTATCCATTTTATGCAAAATTTCGATAATAGGGCGGCCTTTTTTACTATGCCCAAGGACGGAGCTAAGGTTAATCCGGCACTGGGCAAGGGGTATATTATCACAGTGACAAGGCACCTGCGGTTCTGCATTTTTGTTACATAAAACATAAGTGCATGAACCGTAGGTGTTATGGGCAGCAGGTACCGCTTTCCAAGAGATGGGGTGTCTGCTCGTTTATTACTGAGCATCACAAAAAAAAAAGAAAAAAGTCATTCTTGTATTAATTTAGTTTAATCAAAAACTCAAAATTTGGTAAGTTGAGTAAGAGATATACTCATATCGTTTTTCGTAAATATCTTTAAAATGTAGAGACACACTTCTGTCTCATTTTTGTAATATTGTACGTTACTATGCTCTGTTTAATTAAATATTAAGTCTAAGTTAACGAATGTAGTAGCACCTAAGGTTTTTTCTACATTCTAATTAACGCATGAATGCTAGTTTCACCGCATTTTTACAAGTTGCATAATTTACCGGTAATATCTAATGTTTATATTTTACATATATGGAATCAATCAAATTACTGTTTTATTAAAGATCCTAACATTGAAAATATAAAATATACCGAGAATAATAAATAGCACTAAGGTTTTGTTGGAAAGATTTTTACTCTATTATAATTTATACTGCGTCTTACACTTACATAATTGTATATATGCCTACATTATAGTACCTGAATAAAATGTATCTTCAAAATAGCTATTAATTAAAATTCTTTGGTTATTTGCAACAATAAAACTCAAATGATCACTAAAGCATTTTTTATCTATATGTTTGTATGTAGATACCTTTTAATCTTCGCAAGCCAATTGTAACGGAGCTTTCAGATGAGAGTGACCGAGATCAATTTTATCTCGGAAAAGTAAAAGCATTCGTGGAAAATAGCGGATAGACAACATTGCTTTGACGTATTTAATGTAGGCACTTAATACTTTTATTGACGATTTAGATGAGATTTATCAAAGCCGTTCTCTTAGATATAAAATCTATATGAATTATAGATTGTGGGCATTGATACATAGAAGAAACGTAACGCGTCACCTAAAAATCCTCCATCAGCCAAAACAATAAATAACTATATTGCACAAAAATATAGATATCAAACATTTTTATATGTACGATTGAATCAATAGTTAAGTATCTACCTTGCTATAAATTATTTGTATTACAAAATGTCGGGATCCGGAGCTAACTAATTGCAAAGTAAGTGGAACAAAATAAATAATGGATTGCACACGATGTATATATATATATATATATATATATATATACTATATATATATATATATATATATAATTCTTTCCATGTAATATAACTATTCTCTTAGAAGAATACAAAAAAGACAAGAAAAAAGAATAGAAAGAATTTCTAAATAATATATATTAGATTTTTACTACATATTGTGTAGATACATCATTCCATACAATGTGTAGTAAAAAACTAATATATAAATATCTCGTATCACGGTATTTGTGGTCACACTCCTTCGAAACGGCTCGACCGATTTTAATGTTTTTTTGTATATTTGGTAGTTATGAGAATAGGTCGTAAAGTATTTTTCACTCTCCTACCCCCGCTCCCCATTTTTCAAGTAACGAGGGGTGAACCCGAGCGTAAAATATAGTATGTGACAAAAAATATATGTTTACTATTTCGCACCATCTTAAAACTTAGCATTAAATAGCCTACCATGAAATTATACAAAACTAAAAGTTGCTCAACTTCCACGATTTTAATGTTCATATATGTATGTATACTTTATATCTTTTAATGGAAACGCAGGCCTTTTAACAATATATCGAACAATGGGTGAAAGTAACAATTATTTCAATAGGATAGCCGAGGGACATATCCGAATGGTCGCGTTACATGGTTCAATGAATAATGTTGAAACGGTATTTTATATTAACTCTACATTTTTATAATGACCTTTATTTTCTAAGTAATAAGAGTTATATGTGAGTAAAATAAACTCACGTGTTAAAACGATGAGCGTGAATGCGTCCTCCATACCGGCTGCTAACAGACTGTCTGTCCTTACTCTGTCGTTGGCAGACTGCAGCAAAACCAGTAAAGTAACACAAGTAGCAATTTCCAAACACGCGCCGTTCTGCGACGATACGCGGTATCAATTGATATACTACTGCTACAATTTATGAGATCTAGATAGAGCAATATATAGTTATGTAGATTTTAATAACTTAGTTTTAATGAAAACCAAAAAGGTATATATAATTTATCATTTAGCATAATTTTATTTCCAAATGGCGTAAACAAAATGAGTATTGGTAAGTTAATGATGTAATTATTAAAACATGTAATATAACATCAATATAAGAACTCAATCAAATAAAAAAAAAAAATAAGAAAGATCAATATAATAAATGATATTGCTTAAGGAATACATAGCCTACATTGTCTCTACTTGTACAATATTATCTTCGACCCTTCTACTTTTTTCTTTAGCTAAGATATTTTTTAAATGTTTGTAATTGAGTCATTATTATGTTGTAAAAAGTTACCTAAATGCAATAAATCGTAATATTTTAGTGCCTATATATATATATATATATATATATATATATATATATATAGGCATATATAAGGCATATATAATATATAAAATACAATACATGATCAGAAAAGTAGTAGTAGTGGCATTTTGTTTGTTATTAACATACTTTTATTAGCTTCATTTATTACTACATATGTATTTAATCAAATCTGAGAAGTCGATTTCAAGTTTCAACCTACTTTTGCTTACTTGTAGTATCGATATATGTATCGATTGGAAACTTTACAAGTAGGTATGTGAAATGCGGATGACAATTATCACAGTAAGAATTTGATCTATTCAGAACTCATTCAACACTAATAATAACACCAGCAAATAAACAGTGGAACTCCTTATTAAAAAACGACTTGGTACTATTAGTAAAACGGATACTAATTGAAGAGTGTGTTTAAAGTTACTATTATTTTTACTTTTAAAAATTGTAAATAAGATAAAATCAAAATAGTAAATCATGTAATAAAATTTTAACTAAGCCAAATCTGTAAATTAGATATTTTTTGGAATATCTTATCTTCTAATTGAACATTATTATCGATACAAGGCCGAATCTATAGTTTTTGGATTTTTGTCTGTCTCAGCCAAACGTATTTATATACTGTACTGAAACTCTACGTTCATATATGTATGGACATATTTATTATTTTGTATACATACATACATACATATATGTCTAAATATTAAAAGCACACTTAGAAAATGCATTTAGCTATACAACTGGCGGATACATAAGTAGTAAAACATTCTAAGTAATCTATACATATAATGAAATTGTAACTAAGCCGAATCTCTACGGTATGGTGATAGCTCGTTATTCGGGTCAACATTATAGGATACTTTTTACCTCGGGAAAATATCTCATTTCTGAGAAAAAATACAAAAACTGTTATGTAAGTGTATACTGATATATAAATCCTAAGAATTTGGTTACTGGTCATCTGAACGCGGGCGGAGCCGCGGGCAATGCTAGTATTTTATAAATTAAATCAAATTATACTTTATTCAAATAGACTTTTACAAGCACTTTGGGTCGTCAATTTATTTTTTTAAATTAAATTAAATGTCATTAGGTATGTAAGTCCATGAGGAATCCACGACCGGCTCGAAAGGCAGTTCTGCTGAGAAGAGCCGGAGAGAAATACTAGGTACAACATTAAATATATGTATATACAATATTGATATAATATTTATGAAATTTTCATATTCATAACTTATAATTTTGAAATTTCTATAAGATAAATCTGTGTGTATGAGACTTGGACGCAATGGGGGCAAACCAAGTCTTTTCCCAAGTCCTATTTTCTACTTTGTATGGTCATAAAAGTAGTAGTTATTTTCGGTCTCTAAACTATCTCTATGAAAAATTGTGAATCCACGTCTAGCATTTAGAAAGAAAGTGAATCTAACAATTTTATAAAGGTTGTAAAAAATATAAAAACTTCTTGATAAAATAAAAGATGACAAATCTTCATATATTTTAGACGTTTACTTTAAACGTAAGTGCTTTTTTAGTAAATTTCTATTGGAAGAAAAAAAGTATTGCATAAATGAAATTATTATAAGGCATATACTATAATTATAGCTTAAAAGTGTTGATAAATTTAATTTTAATTTTTATAATTATTTCAAATAATTTCAATGTTTTTCTAATTTCGGAAAATGATTTTAACACCCAGGTAAAAAATGCAAATATTCTTACAAGAATTATATATTATACACTTGTAATGTTGTTGTTTCCAGTTTGATAATACGAATATAAGCTTCCTTCAAAAGAAATCTCAATTTAGAAAAAAATTATCCTACAGTATATACTCCGTATGTGATTGGTTATTGTTTAATCTATATATATAAAAGAAAGTCGTGTTAGTTACACTATTTATAACTCCAGAACGGCTGAACCGATTTGGCTGAAAATTGGCGGGGAGGTAGCTTAGAACCTAGAGACGGACATAGGATACTTTTTATCCCGGAAATCATCCCTTAAGGGGGTGAAAATGGGAATAAAATTTTGTATGGGCAAGCAAGCTAGGGACGAACCCGAGCGAAGCGAGGGTGAGTCGCTAGTAATATATAATTATCAAGACTTTAAATAACACCGTCAATTTAAAAGTTATTAATTTCTAGCAAGCTCTCGGTAAAGTGAAACTTGGCCAAGATTTTTTTGGGGGAGCCAAGTTGGGTGAGCTGAAGCATCATGTAAGTACATATTCGTAAATTTAATATTTGCGTAAGATATCATTGTATATATTTATTATTTTTTGCCATAAATATTTTATTGAGAATATTTCTGTAGCTGCAGCTTTTAAACTGTAATAATACTTCTGGTCATTTAGCCTTTTTATTCAAAACCTTATAAATTGTGAGGAAAGGCTTAGTCTTAACTGAACTTTATTAGACGAATATTGTAAGATTAAACTATTAAATAATTTGTACAACACTCACCTCTTCTAAGTATATATCGCAGTTATGGACTTCACACTCTCAATGTACCTAACTTTGATTTTTTTTATATACAATATGGAAAAAGTTCTCCATATAAGGCATATTTAAAAATTTATAAATACAATATATTTATTAATAATAAGAAAGTACTATGCAGAACAATATGTTTTTTACTTTTTATGTGCTGGTATTCTTTTATCAACTGTACGATGAACGGAAAACCTTGTATCGAGCTTTTTGCGCTGGAAGCATTATAACGAAGGAAAGAGTCCTTACATCTACTCACTGTTTTCTAACTAATAGAAAAAGGTATTTTATTTATATTTATCTGTTTAAGTACATTAGTACCTGACTACTGAGCTTCGCTCGGAGTTTTTGGTCAAAAGTACAATTTTCTTCTAAAAGAAAAATTTGATTAAATACAAAAAAAAAAACAAAAGTAAAAACTCTGTATCCGATCGAGATACGAACCCAGACACTTGTGGTTGTCAAACTTGCGCCTTGGCCGCTTGACCACGATGCTTATGTCCTAGCATGCGAATTAGCGACCATATCTTGCGTGGAATAATGCGAAACAAAACCGCATGAAAACTCGAAAACACGCATTTTCCTAGACATAAAACTAATCTAGATCGATTTATCGCCCCCGAAACCGCCAGTATACTGAATTTCATGAAAATCGTTGGAGCCGTTTTCGAGATTCAGGTTATTATATATACAATAATTGCTCGTTTAAATATATTAGATAAATAAAAACTACCACTACGTTAAATGGTAACTTATAAATCTATAAAAAAATTTGCATATTCGAAATATTTTATTGTAAAATGATTGAAAACAAACAAGCAAGAAAACACGCGTCAATATATCTGTAAAACATTTAAAATGCTATAAGTGCTTATTACCGATTTACGACTTTTAAATAGATATAATAATAATAATAAATAGTTATTGTGAGTGTACCTAGGGAGATAGACATATACTATTGTGAACTTTTTTGTAGGCCTTTTATAGATCTACAATTTTCTAGTATACAGTTTTGATGTATCTCTTAAGAAAATATATATCTAAGGACGACTCTATAGAACCTCTATAGTTATCGTGTTTCCTCGTGGGAATGAAAGATTTTCCTGTAATAAAAAGTATACTAAAGTTTGACCCGAGTATTAAGTTATCACTACATAAATTTTACTTAAAATCGTTTCAGTACTTTTTGCGTTGAACGCGCACACACAAGCAGACAAACCGGCAATTTTTTTTATAACTATTATATTTTTTGAGATATATTTATATTTTGTACAAAATATGTTACAGTCATTGTTTTAAATAAATCTTCATGTACAGATTTCGCTAAGTTACTATTTTTTTATACTTATGTATATATTAATGTGCATTTATTTTTTCAGGAGAAAGCGAAATTTTAACCTCATCAAAATTGCGGGAGGTATTTTGAACACACTGACTCCTTACCAGCCAATTCATGTCACTCAGCAATGGCGGACAATAGAACATTTGTATTCCCAAAGATTTTATAGATTTCCTGCGTATAATTTGGCGATCGTGGTAAAAATATTGTTATTAAATATAATATTCTAAGAAATTTGAAGGAATAAATCATATTTACATCTTAGATCTAACTACGAGACACTAAGCAACGATATGAGAAACCCTTTACCCTTTTTTTACTACCCTGAAGAAAATAACGTAAATTCAATTGTCTGCATAAGACTTTGTCAACTAATTAGGTAATATTTACAACCTGATTATATTATGTGTCTGTAATTTATTATACTTAATTTTAGAAAGTAAATAAAGAATGGGTATTTAATGAATACGTCAACAAAATTCCGTACACGAAATGGAATCAGGACTTCGATGGTGTTTGTTATGGTACTACTGTAAAAACAACAAAGGTTTGAGTTGCAAATTTGTTTTGTACTATACTAATATTATAAAGAAGCAAAGTTTGTTTGTTTTTTTGAACTCGCTAATATCAGGAACTACTAATCCGATTTGAAACATTATTTTTGTATTAGATAGCACGTTTATTGAGAAAGGCTATAGGCTATATATATCATCATGCTACTACCCAAGGGAGCGGAGCAGTAATCATAAATTTCATAAAATCGGGCAGACTTCCATACATTAAATTGTAAAACTATATGTATATTATATAAATACATATAAAATATAAAGCCAAAGAATTTGTTTTGTAGATTTAACGCGGACGAAGCCGCGGGTTCTGCTAGTTAAGATATAAATGTGAAAGTGTGTTAAGATTTGTCATACCTAGATTTATACTGTCGAGCAAAGTTTTAATAAGATTTTTTATATAGTTTGTGCATAATGGAGGGTTAGACAGACTATATTTTATTTCATTATATATAAAGTATAGATATTAATTGTTAGTATAAATAAAATATTGTTATTAAGTAGTAGTAGTATAGGGGCATTAGTTAAATTTAAATAAAATTAATGGAAAATACTAAAATATGAACTTATACTATTATATAGTATAAAAATAAAATTTGTTTTCAGAGTTGGTCAAATAATAAAAACCTTTTTGCCGTTGCTTTTCAAATGATCCCTAAAAGATCCTGTGAGCATAAACTACTAAGAAGTTGTGAAATGTTCTATTGTTCAGAATATGATACGATGACATCGACCTCTGTTGTATGTGAAGCAATAATTATAACAATTTTAATTAAATTAACACTATAGAAACACCTCGTAAAATTTGTTTATACATACGAGTATAATCGACAATATAATTATAATATTTTACTTTCATGTCACATAATATCTTTTGTACTATATCTTTTGTGTAATTTGCTAAAGTTTAATAAGGCAATATAATTTTGTAATTTAATATCTTATAATTTTGGGAGCTTATTTTGGACTAACCAAGACTTACCCCTCGCGCCGCCCGGGTGCACGATTTTGTTAACAATTTCATGGGTTTTAATTTTTTTCCGCGGACCATGTGTTTTTCTAAAAACATGAAACTATTTTTTCTAAAATAAAAATAGCCAAGTTACTCCTTATAACATCAGCTACCAGCCAGTGAAAGTCCCATCACAATAAATCGGTCCAGCCGTTTCGGAGATTAGCCGGAACAAACAGACAGGCAGATAAAAAAAAATGATTTTTTTTCTTACGTATATACTATCATACGCATTTAGTAAAAAAACTGTTATTTTGACATAACAAACAGACACTTCAACTTTATTTATTGTTACTTATTTTGGATAATTATAACTTGATTATAGCATCTATTAAACCGCAATAAATATCTTCTTTTCAGGAGATTGAGGGTGGAGGTTTAATTTGCTTTGGAACAAATGATCCTGCTGAAGATGTGCTAGTGGGAGTTTTAGTTGGAGTTACATCGCTGATTAATGTTGATCTACCCACTTTACATAATAGAGTTGGATTGCACTACAAATGGGTGAAAGACCATGGTTCACATATCAGCGATAGTAAATTCTGCTTACTTTTACTGATTTTTGTATCAAATATAGATAATTTAGTGTTTTACTTAAATTAATAAATAAAAGTAAATGAAAATAGCAAAAATTTGATTTCTATTATAAGAATTACATAAAATATGTTAACATCTAAATTTCTATGTAGGCAATAATTTTTCTCGATATATGTGTAAAATGATGAGACTCTAGTAAAAAAAGAACCAGTTCGAGGCCGATTTCCACTGACGATCCCAACAAGTATGCCTTTTTCTCCTTCTTTTGGGTCACTCGTGTTTTTACAAACTAATGGACCGCCTGAATCACCCTGAAATGGAAATAAAAAATGAGGTCTTTTTTTAACATAAAACCTTTTAAGACAAACATAGACAACTAGCATTGCCCGCGGCTCCGCCCGCGTTCAGATGACCAAAAACCAAATTCATAGGTTTTACACATTAGTATACTCTTACATTGCAGTTTTTGTATTTTTTTCTCAGAAATGAGACATTTTTTAGCAGTAAAAAGTATCCTATACGTTGACCCGGATAACCAGCTATCACCATACCAAATTTCATCAAAATCTCCCCAGTGCTTTTTCTGTGATGTTGTAACAGACAGACAGACAAAAATCCAAAAACTATAGATTCGGCCTCTGTATCGATAATAATGTTTATTTTAATAAGATTTTCCAAAAAATATCTAATGTAGAGATTCGGCTTAGTTACAATTTTATTATATGTATAGATTACTTAGAATGTTTTACTACTTATGTTTCCGCCAGTTGTATAGCTAAATGCATTTCCTAGGTGTGCTATTAATATTTAGACATATATGTATGTATGTATGTATGCATATAAAAATGTCTATACATATATGAACGTAGAGTTTCAGTACAGTATATAAATACATTTGTCTGAGTTTTTCACCGGAAGTCCAGGGTTACGTACAGATGTATACATATTTCCGTCTGATTATGACGATGTGTCCGCCCAGTACATGTATGGCCTAGGGCCCTAGTCGCTAGTATGTAAGGCTAATATTAATTGGGGTTTCCCATCAGGAGATTTACAGTACCGTAGGATCCTGCATTGTTGGGAAGTATGTGAATATTAGAAAACAGAGAGAATTTTTCTATAATGATCCCTTTGTCCATCTTGAAAGTTGTAGAGCGTAAAAATGAAAACAAAATTCATCTACTGTACCTGTCCAACATCAGTTACTATGCTGGATGTGCACACAAATTTACGCATGTTTCGGCGGTGCATCCGATTGCACCGTGCCGTTGGAATAAGCACCAAATCAGCTAGGAGGAGCTTATCTGATGACATCTATTAGTTGAAGTAAACGTTATTATTTGAAAAATCCAAAAAAAAAAGTTAAAATGACATAATTTACCATGTACTTAATATTTTATAAATAAATCTTAGTACCAGTCAATAATGCGGGCACAAACTAAAATAATTCTTAGACAATTACAATTATTGGCACTGAAATATTTATACTATGAAATGGATACAAGGATATAGTATAACTGATGTATAACATAGTGTACAGATAAATAAAATTGAAGTATCTGTTTGTAATGTCAACACAACAGCTATTCACCAAATATACATATTATATGAACTTATATTAGGCACTTATAAGACCCCCCCCAACATGCGTTCACCTTGTCGTTGTGGGGGGGCTCAGTAGTGCCCGGCAACCCAACCGGGCGCGAAGCCAAGAAACGCACAGGGAGGTGGCCCTCTTCGGAGGGCGGTGTACCATGCGGGTTGCTCCTGGTACTTCTCTGATAGCAGAGTGGACCTTGGAGCAACCCCATGGTTGTGGTGGTCTGCTTCGGCAGACCTGCCGTCGGGGCCTCGTAGTTGAATGTGTAAGCGATCTTGCGACGCCCCATTAAGGTTATGTTGGGTTTTAGTGGGTACTCCTGGCCCGGTGAGTCCCACACGTTGTGCGTAAATGCATTTCCCAACGTTAAAAAAAGGCACTTATAAGAAAAACTCAGTTTTTAAAAAAATGTCTGTCTGTCTGTTTGTTCCGGCTAATTTCCAAACGGCTGGACTGATTTTGACGGGACTTTCACTGGCAGATAGGTGATTTTATAAGGAGTAACTTAGGCTACTATTTTTAGAAAAAAATCTTTTTACCGTTTTGGATATCCGTCCAAAACCAGACGCTAAACATTGTCCCTGATAGTCTACGTGCTTACGTGCATATGGAATATAATTTACATAATTGTTATATATAAAAGGTTTGATTGTAAACTGAAAAAGGGTATAATATTTAGTTAGATTTTAAATAAATTATTGTATTTATTGAAAAATAATTTTAAACTATTTTTCGTTGACTTGAGAAATTTAATTATTTACAAATGGTAATTGTAATGATTTACTACTTAATAGCAATACAACTACTATTAAGGCGGACATTTATTTTCACGCCCTACCCAAGCGTAAACGAAAATTAACTTGGTGTAGAGGTATCTGGCCTACATTCATTGAATTAGATTCCAGAATACAAAGTATTAAATTACTCCGTATGGAAAAGGTAAAAAAGTTCATAGAATTAGCATTATATACGTACCACAATCGCTATGTCATCTTTAGGAAATTTATAAGTCTTTGGATAAACTACGCTTTTTAGTTTTCTCCATTGACCATTTTCGGTGGAATCGAATTGGCTGTGGTATCCGCGATTTCTCAAGTTTCCAGCAACAGCGTACATATGAGATAATGATCTCAATCCCCTGAAGTTTTGATTCGTAATTGAAGTCAATTAATCGATAGTAATCGTTGCTTGTTTAAGATATGCTGTTCTACGATTCTTTCGACCAAGTAGTTTGATAAACTTTAAGACTTTTGGAGAAACTTGGCTTACTCGATTAGTCTACTATTATATAGTATACGAAAGTTTGTATATGTATATTTGTAACTCGTTCACACCTAATTAGTTATACGGATTTGGATAAAGATTAGTACACAGATAAACTAAGATCTGGAGTGACAAAGGTTCTTTTAGCCTCCTAAATATGTAAGTGAGGGTATGTCGCTAGTACTTACATACTTTACTTGCACATAGATTTTCCATTTAGAGAGCCTAGTTCTCAGTTCAGTGAAGAAAAAAATAAACCATTCATTCAATTCAAATTGATCATTCACACAAAAATATCTATATAGACTACCTATCTCTTACTTGTTATTACTGCACAGTCTTTGACAAAAATTCTGATCGTCGGTGAAACAGTGTGCTGCTGAGAGTAACTTTGCCGGTGCTATGATGACTCCACCACAGAAGGTAACATATATGCGGGAGCGTTTAATCAACGCTTTAAAGGCTATCTAAACATATAAAATTAAGAATCTGTTCTCAATTCTTTCTTCAATCTCGTTAAATTGGCAGCAGGACTATACATATTTAAATTGTCTTTAATCTACAATATTCTTTTATTTTTTTCTAATTCGCAAGTGATATTGTGTGAAGCTATATATAATACAAAATAACCAAGTTGAAATCGTACCATGATTGAAGTGTTAGCTTGAATAGTCTATCTTAGATATAAAAGAAGAATAATGAAAATAATGTTACGTATAACGTATAGGTATATATAATAAAAGTAACAAAAGTTTTTATCGACACAATACTTTAGTATGCACTAATATCAGTGTAATCCGCGAAGAAACTACCAGTGCCACGGGTTATTGGCTAAAAAGAACCATCCGGTTCTCAACTCAACAATTATTTTTTAGTCTTTCACAGCAGATCCCAATAGTCTATTTATGTGTGGTTTTCCTTACTTTAGAAGAAAATTTAATATTTATCCAAAAAAATCATATCTATTCCTACATACATAGGTAGTGGGTGTAAAAATCATGTCATATTCCTACGGGGTATTGGGTTCCGCTCTAAGTTAACACTTTCCCTTACTTGATACGGGACGTCTCCAAGCTTGCCAGGCTTCCCATTGACAACGCGAGGCACGTAATTACTATAATCTGATTTATTATACGTTTCCAATAGGGGTATATATAAAATATTTATAAAAAGGGAAATAAAGCAAAAGTTTGTAGCAAACATCACTTTGACAGTCGACTTGTCTGTGATAAAATTCTGTGTTGGCTATTCAAAGAGTAGCAGAAGCTTCTGACACCTACATATTTTAGTTTAAAAAAATAATATTATTTTAGATGTAATTTTCAAAAGCTTTTATTATATTTGATTTAAAAAATAATATAAAACTAACAACAAACTGATGTATCTAATTGTGTAACATAATTTTAAAACTATATCATCATTTATGACAGCGAAGTCAATTCATATACCCATTCTTTTTTTATAATTTTTACTAAATATATAATATATATACTAAATAACTTGGAGTAGCTTATGTATACTCTAAGCTAAATAACAATATCATGAGTTAAAAGTATTTTAAGCATGGTATTTAATTAATAATATATGAAACATTCTTTTTGGATTTCTCTACTCTTACTCGGACTATTAAATATTTATTCCAAAGGATGTACACAAATATTAGTGAGTGATGACTCTTCAGACGAATTTAGCTTTAGTGTAAGTACAATTAACAGTTTGACTTTCAATTTATAAAAGTACTTAAATTTTAAAGAACATACTGTTTTAGAGTGTTTTGGAGGAAAATAAGCAATATGAAGCTTACGTAGATATTTGCCCAATAAGAATATTAGGCGGTACTAATGCGAAAATTACTGATATACCGTATCAAGTAAGTGTTGTTTGATTTTTGCCAATAAAATTTGTTTAAAAAGATATAATTATTATATTATTGGATTGCAGGTGGCGTTGAGGAAGAAATATCTAGCAGGATATATTTGGTCCACATTTTGTGGAGGATCATTGATAACTATGAAATATGTTGTGACAGCCGCGCATTGTCTTATAAATCATACGTAAGTCATACTATTTTTATTTGATTAAAAAGATATTTTTTTTTATTTATTTTTTTAAATGGGATATTAACACATATCACCATCTAGTTCCATGGTAAGCTACGAGGCTTGTGTTATGGATACCAGATAGTTGATACACTACACATATATAACTTTAAATACATACATATTATAAATATAAACACCCATGATTGGAGTACAAACATCTATGCTCATCACACAAATGAATGCCCCCAGCGGGACTTGAACCCGCGACCGCTGGAACAGCAAGTAGGGTTACTACCAACTGAGCCAAACGTGCCATCTTAAAAATTTGATTATTCCACTTATATGGGTCCTTTCTTTTTATATACAACTAGCTACTTACCCCCGCTTTGGTCGGGTGTGTCCCTTGGTACGCGGATTTTGTTCACAATTTCATGGGTTTTAATTTTTTTGCGCGGAATACTAAGTATTTTTTTTTATAATAAAAGCACCCGAGTTTTGCTGTTACTAGGGTGCATAGTCTAAGCTGAACGCTATTTAATATGCTCCACCATATGATGTCAGCTTACATTGGAAGCTTCTAAATTTCCGAAACTACCAATTTTTTAATTTTGTTGTGTTCATGTTATAAGCTCCAATGATCATCGTTTTACAAACTATAATTATAGTCAAAGTTTCAGTCAAATTTTGTTTGCTTGAAGGAGTTACAAGCATACAAATAAAAAGATTTGCAATTATAATAGTAATCCGATTAAGTGTTATTAATATCAATATGGCTATTTTCAGTAATGGCAAAGTAAAAAAATTAAACAATGTAAGAGTGGTGGCGGGAACGTCGAGGACTACGGTATCACTAATTTCCTGGTTCGAAGAGCATTGGAGAAGAATAAGGCGCTTTTATAAGCATAAATATTATAATTGGACTTATCTTGAACATGACTTCGGTGTTATTGAGGTCATCAATTAAATATTAATGAATATTTCAACTCCTCAAATTAAACCTAGTTAGTGACATAGGTTAATATAGGCGAAAAGATTTATCGATTTTTTTAGGCTTACCCAACGAAAGAATTCGACATTCTTTTTATTTCTTTTTTGCGATAATAGGATATCACTGCGACCATGCCTGGTCTAGATTAAACTAGATTAAACCTTATTAAATAAAACTATCTTTTCGGATTATTTCGCGGATTTATTTTGATTTTTGGTTCCCGACGTTTCGAATGCTTTACAGCATCCATGGTCACGGGAGTCTCTCCCGTTTTTTTATTTAATAATGTCAAACATTCGCGTAAATCTAAGAAAGTATTATTTGATTAAACCTTTGAACCCAGCAACTATAATATACTGCAGGATTTGCTTAGGGGTGCACCCCATAATTTCATCTGGGACTAGAAAGTCCTAACATAAATATTGGACTTGTGAGGTCCGCATAAGAGCTCCACGATACTCCAGAAGATGAAGTGGCATTTTATTTGCCTCTATACGTCTTCTGCAGGTATTTCTGTTACTCAGCCTTAGGTGGAACATATTTAAGCAGCAGCGTTCTGTTAGGGCTCATATTAATATGCGTTAAATTTTTTTCATTCGGCGCTAGTAATAGGTAATTTTAAGTACCTTTTAAAGAATTCGTTATCTCTTTTTGTACGTTGTCGCCGTATTTCATTGTTACTTGAATAGGTAAAATTTGTTCGATCAGTGTAATTATTTAAAAATGTAACAATGTGATGTAACGCAACGAATAAAATGTAAATATATTCTTAACAAGGTTTTACGTGCGGCTTCACATGCGCAGTCTAGTAGTTTGACAGATTCAAATTTCAAACAAACAAACATTGTAAGTTTATAGGAGTAAAATAGAGAGTATATAGAAGTAAAATTGCAACTATTTTTATCTCTTTTAGGTGAATTATGCCTTTATCGCTTCAAATAAAATAAAACCAATTCGCTTGCATGATTTAAAAACGGACAAAGTATTAGAAGATGGGCAACAATGTGTTATTTCAGGATTTGGACTAAAGGAAGACGTAAGTCAAATTGATTTTCTAAAGTAGTTAAATACAAAAATTGTGCAGTATGCATTTAAAATCAATGGATTAATATAAAGGACGTCATTGAGAGAGACAGAGCTTATTATATATATGTATTAGGGCGACCCAAAAAAAAGGATTATTTTTTTTTTCATGTCTCGTGTGAAAATATGTTAGTTTACTATGTTTTAAGAGTCCCCTCCAAAGGACAGCTCAAAAAATTTTTTTTAAAGGTCGCTCACAATTTTTTTAAATTTCCTAATTCCTCAAAAATCGATTTTTTTTTTCAAATGCTTTTTCTCGTAATTTCATTTCTTTTTACATGAAAAATTATGAAGATCCTGAAAATTTCAAGTCAAAATTTTAATATTTAGAGGTCGCTACAATTTTTTTAAGTTTTCAAATCGAGTACTTTATATCTATTTGAGCAACTTCTTAACATGAATATTAACAAACTTAATATTTTTTTCCTTAAATTTCACATGCTAAAGAATGAAATTAAAGCACGAGAAACAAAAAAAAATTATCTCGTATTATTATAAAGTACGTAATTATAAAGTAAATATAAAGTAATTATAAAGTAAAGTACGTATTTATAAAGATAAAATTGGCAATTTTAATATAAAACAAAGAAATGATAAAATATGTTATATGCAAATAAATGTACATGATCAATGCAGATTCATTGTAAGTAGAAGATAATTTTTTTAACATATCTATGTGACGGAATCTTTTAAGGTAATTTCCACCCATTTCTAAACTTCAGATAGAACTGATACTTTGCATATTTAACGGAGGACCATTGACAATACAATAAATATAAAAAAAAAATTTAAAAACAAAGAAAGCACACTTTCATAGATCAAACTAAAAAATGGAAAATAAGAAAGTTGTAGTTTAAAAAACTAAAAAAACACGCTTTAATGATATACCGAAATAAAAAGTAAAAAATAGTTTTTAGTATAAGAATAAAATGCTTAACGAAAAACTTAATGTGAAAAAACGTGGGGTGCTCGATATCAGTTGTTATAAATATTCCATTGGTACGATTTCTAAAAGTGGAGTTACCTAGTATGAATGAATGTCCTGGGCACATCCAACAGAGTCACCCTCAGATGGGTCCCGGGTCACTCAGGCATAGATGGGAACGAAAAGGCTGATGCATTGGCAAGAAGGGGCGCTGAAACCCCAGTTTGTGGCCCAGAACCATTCTGTGGCATTGCAAAACAACATGCCTATTCAATTCTCAAAATTCTCTGCAATCGCCAAGCACTTCAAGAGTGGCAATCCACTTCTGGACAAATACACTCTAAAGCGCTAATTAAGGGATATCGCAAAAAGTTTACAAAAGAGTTGCTTCAACTCAACAAGTATAAAACCAGTGCATTAACTAGAATACTTACTGGTCACTGCAAACTCAATAAACATATGTTTACCCTCGGCCTCAGTCAGACCGCAATGTGCAGACTATGCCATGAGACAGAGGAAACTGCTATGCACATCCTCTGCTCATGCGGTCCACTCATGCACCGCAGAAGTATCTATCTAGGGCAGCATATTATGCAACCGGAAGAGATACAGATGCTCCCCGCTCAGAAAATCTGGAAGTTCCTGGAGTCAACAGGACTAAGCGGAGAACTGTGAACTCACTATAAAGGGAGCTACAATGGACCAAAACTGGTCGACGTAGCTAGGGCCGACCTCGGCACCACACCCAACACTAAATAATAATAATACCTAGTATTAAAAAATATTGTACAAAGCACCCATTAATTTTTTCATTAATCACTTTATTCTTATACTAACAATTATTTTTTACTTTTCAGTTAGATTCATCATTAAAGCGTGTTTTTTTATTTTAAATTTAATTTTGTATTCATTTTCAGGATAAAGCAGTCGTTTCTTTACAAATGGTTTGCGTTCCATTGGTTTCAAGTTCGTTATGCGAGGAATATTATGACGAGATGTATTTGCATCCTTCTAGTTTATGCGCCGGATCGACAGGGAAAGACAGTTGTGAGGTACAAACATATCCATAAAATAACACAAGCGTTTGATTTTATATGGACAATGTAAACAAGATGGAAAATCGATTGCCACATATTTCTAAACTTAAATTATGACGAAATTCTCTAGGTACTAACTTCTATCCCTAATCGAGGAACTCTAACTCGATTAGAAAGTGTATTTTCATAAATTACTATATAATATAAAACTTTTATGCTTCTAAATGCCTATTAACTTTATGGTTGTACCTCGCATGTAAAGTGTTAAAGTTTTTTCAAGTAGGTACCTACAATATTTTTGTCAAATACTCGTACCACATTCTTAAAAAAGGCGAGTGTTTTTCTTTATATTTTTTACTATTATAACAATAGTATAATAAATGTACGTCGGAACTCACGTTACTATATACCTTATTTGGTAAACCGGAAAACAATGGTATTTTAATATTTATTAAATAAGTGTTATGATATCATTCATAACATGCGATGATTTATTAATCGTAAAATTATATTATCAGCAAAAAAAATAGAGTTAACTTAATATACTTACTTCTTTAAAAAATAATTTTATGTGCAACTACAATTATAGATCGGTGTATGATAATTTTAAGTGTTCCGTTGTTTAAAGGTAAAAATGGAACGCTCTGTCTCTTGAGAGATGTTCCAAGTGCAAATTTGATTAGGCATTGGGTGCGTAAGTTCGAAGAGACTGGGAACACAATGCCGGATAAATGATGATGATGTTCTCCTAGCCGATTCCGGCCACGGCGGCCAATCTCATTGAGATTAGCCAACTGTGCAGGAGATATTATAGTGCACAAGTGTACGCGCAAACACAAGTGCACTCTCTATTCCTATCACTCTCATACTCCGGTGGGACGACCACTCGACACGACCGGTGAGAGTTAAGGCGCAGGACCGACGGCTTTACGTGCTCTCCGAGGCACGGGGGTGAAACACCGCCAACTTCCCAACTCCGGGTTGTTACTGAGACTTACTATACAGAAAGACTCAATAACTAAACTTGGCCCGACTCGGGACTCGAACCCAGGACCTCCGGGTGTGCAGCCGTACATGCTAGCCACTACACCACCGAGGCAGTTAACCATAATTATTATTTATTACATATACATTAGGCCGGATAAATAACCAGGTCGTAAAAGAACATCAAGAACGAGTGAAAATGTCGACCGCGTGCGGCAGTCTGTTATGGCTGATCCAAGGAAATCATTGCGTTTGCGTTCAGAAACTCTTGAGTTGAATAAATCCACAGTTCATCGGATTATTAAGAAGGATTTGTAAATCCCCCTCCACCCTTAAAACATCGTTATTGTTCAGGAGATGAAGCACGATGACCCTATTAAACGGCTCGAGTTTTGTAAAACAGTATAAAATCGCTTTAAAAGTTTTAAGAACATTTGGTTCTCTGATGAATCGAATTTTCATATCAATGGGCATGTCAACAAGCATAAATGTAGATATTGGACTGAAAGCAACCCACTAGAACTGCATCAAAAGCTTCTCCCAAGGTAATCGTTTGGGCCGCCATATCAAGCCAAGGAATTATTGGCCCTTACTTCTTTGAAGATAACCGTGGACGGGCTCAAACTGTAAATTCAGAGCGTTATTGGCATATGATAACATATTTTTTAACAAGCGCGATGCAAAACCAAAGTGGCTATAACAGAAACACATTTTTCCAACAAGATGGTGCCACTTCTCATGACACAAACGACGCGCTTGATGCCAAATTCGCGAATTATTCCCGGTACGAATCATTAGTTGTCGAGGCGATATTAACTGGCCACCGAGGAGTCAAGATTTAACCTCTGCGGATTTTTACTTATGGGGCTATCTCAAGAGCAAGGTTTATAATCCATAACCGCAAAATTTATCTCAATTGAAGCAAAGAATCACGAACGAAATCAATGTGATACCGCGCGCTATGCTGCGTCGTGTGGTTGAAAATTTCAGCTCCACATTAAAAAATGGTTGTTTTTCATAAATAAGCATTTGATTTTCGCTCTTTGATTTGATATTAAAATTACTATAATTAATATAATTTTAGAATTTTATTTCTACATTTTAAATTAGAAAATATTTCTGAGACACCCTTATTAGCTCAGACCAATAAAATACTTTTTTATTGGTCTGAGTTTATTAGCTGTAGAATAGTGATTTTGTACTTATAAAAATACAAAGTGGATGAAGGATATAAATATAACATTGACTATTTTATTTTAATGTTTACTTATAGTTTTGCATTGTATATTAAATTACTTAATATATATTTTTTAAATAGTTGTTTCTGCATGTGGTGCTGCTAGAGTTCTAAGTTTTTTTGCTTATATTTCAATGTTTGTCGATAGCGCCATCTATTGAAAATATTTAGAACTAACTGAAAAAGTATTATGTGATAGCCCAACTAAAGTCTATTTGTATGTCTATTTTAGAGTATTATATGATCTGTGATTTTAGATACGTATACAAATTAATTCAATGTTTTAAGTTTTATTAAGTAATGCACATTTAAACATTGCGAATATATGTATTTCAAATTATGGTATATTTTAATAATAATACGATATTAATTATTCATATTTTAAAGGGTGATTCTGGAGGCCCCCTCGTCTGCAGTGGAGTTCTAGTTGGAGTAGTGTCTTGGGGCGGAGTATGTGGAGTGCACCCTGGTGTTTATACGAAAATATCCGAATACACTGGTGGCATAGAAGTGACATTCGAAAAGAGTTCAGTACCTAGAAGAGCAATGAATAAATTTCTAGGAATAGTTACCATTATGTTACTGTTTTTTGAAAATATTAGGTTTTTGTAATATATAAAATAACAATGAATAACTCTGTATTTTTAAATTTCGTTTGTATTTTTGTACTCCGCCACCTATCAATAAACCCTTAATATGGAATGCCAGTATTGCTCATTACGTTTTTATAATTTGCCAATAGATGGCGCTTTAAGAAGGTAGAAGAAAGTTCCTATAACTGTTGGCTAGATGGCGCTAACAATACTATACTAGATATTACTAATGTATAAATTAATTTTCAATATTTTGGTAATTTATGAAATAACTACGATATAATAGAATATACAAAAAAAACATCAAATATTTTTTGTCCGTCTGTTTATAGCTTGCTCGCTTGCTTTTAGCGTATTTTTTACTGGTGGATAGAAGATTCAGTTGGAGTGTTAAAAATAGTAGAGCTTTCAGGACCGCGGGCGCAAATACGCATTTTTTGCTGTGTAAAATAAAATAAAATTTAATTATTTTGGAGGAAACTGATTTTTTTGATTACTTCTTTAAAAAACTAATCTGAAATAAAATGAAGGAAAAATTTACGTTTATATTTTGTAAAGTTCTATTTAAAATATCCGCCACAGCAGCTGAAATAAAATTTATTATTCAAACATCTAAGCTCTTGTTTATAAAAGCCGTTTACCTTATTCTCTAAGATAAATACTCTTATAAGCTATTAAAACTATAATGTCTAGCTAATTTCCTCACTTAAACGTATCTTGGTAGTTTTAAGGCTATCTCAGACAGTGTGCATTAAACATCAGCGTGTCTGCTCGGTCCCTGACGGAGGTCTGAAGGCGAGGGCCGGAACTCACTTCATAAATTATAACTTCCTCCAGTTTAGAGTGGGACAAAAGAAGGTACTACATTAGGTGAAATTAAATAAATATCTTTCAGATAGGTACAGATTATAGAGACATTTTAAATTTGTTTCCTTGTATTGTATTATTTGGATTTTAATACAAACAAAACTAACTATTTTTTTTAGATTTTTTTAACAATGCACGTCGCTTGGTTATGGGTGAAATGATTTTAAAAGCATATTTTATTGTACTAGATATTTAATAATTTTCTCTTACGCTACATAATAAAAAAAATTATCATCATTATATATTTTTCCAAGATAGAATCGAAGTAGATACCCATGTCGAACATAATATATTCTCTTAAAATAATATTTAATGTACACTTTTAGTTTACATTAAATTCTTTAAACAATGCGAAAATGCATCCTGTGTGTCGCTACGCTACCTAACTACTAAAATCTCGGCGTCTTGAGATTCGTATTTAATTAGCGCGACCTCAAGCTCGGTTGGCCGGATATTGTGCTACGCATTGCTAATAACCCCATCGTTGCTCACATGCTCACCTCTTACCTGTTAAGATTAAGTGAATAATCATTTATGAATATTATAATATGTAAAGATAGAATCGAATGATTTATGAAGAACTTACAAGGATGGTGAAAATTTATAATTAAACGTAATAAAAACATACTTAATTTGTAACTAAAACTACATTAAATATAATATAAATTAAATTAAATATAATAACTAAATTTACATTAAAATGTTTTAAACTATGTGTTTTTTTTATATATTTAATTGAAACATTTTTGCCTACTATTTACTTAATTTTGATAAGTCAAATGTTACAGTTTATTATTACAAGTATGTGGTCATCTAGAAATTGCTATTACGTAGTAATATTATATACCTGCTTATGTATAAAGGATAGGGATAACATCAATAATAACTCCTGGTTTCCGTGTAAGGCTTAAAGTAGGTACTGCTACTTAGATATTATATTAATAATATGTTGGGACAGTAACACACATCACCATCTAATCCATGGTAAGCTACGAGGCTTGTGTTTCGACCATACCAGATAGTTGATACACTACACATATATAACTATAAATACATACATATTATAAATATGTCTTGGATATATACGTTGGATTTTGGACTGTGTTTTCTAATTTTTTAAGTCTAAAACAAGTCAGTAAAATAGTTACAATAAACGCCATTTTAAGTTTAAAGAAGTTTCCAAATTAAATTAATAATAAATATATCATACTTTTTTGATATAATCACCAGGTATATTATAAGGCTGTCGATCTCCAGCTAGACAGTCGTACGATGGGGCGAAAAAATGCAACAATAGTAGATAACTATTATAAAATTTTATTGAAGTGAAACTTCTTTGCGCACATGAGAGTAAAATTTCAAGGTCGCGTCACGAAAAACCGTCATGGTTGCCATAGTAACCGCTTGCATTAGGTTGTTATAGTAACAGTAACTATCTGAAAAAAATGATCCCATCAAAAACATACTGTAAAAATATTGCAAGTCTCGCAACGCATCTCTCTACCGCAAAAAGCTATGAGATATAATGTAAAACCAAGTCGGTTAATTTATTCATTACCTATCTATGGAAGCATCTATCCGACAACTTTGTCATAAATCGTTACCGAATTAGTTAAGTTACAACATTTTATAGTGACCGTATTAATATTAGATATATTTATTTCTTTAATTAATAGAGTGACTTGGCCATCGCACGGAAACATAATCACATAAGAGTCGACTACTTTAAATAGTCCTAATTAAAAATACCATGACCAAGGTGGACGGACGACTTGGTCAAAGTCGCTGAAGCCCACTGGATGCGGATGGCACAAGACTGGTTGTCGTGGAAATTTTTGGGGGAGGCCTATGCCCAGCTGTGGACGTGTTTGGGCTGAAATGAACGGAACATAGTACTAGCGGGTCAAATTGATGCATACACTAACAATACATAAATAATGCACTCAGAACCTTAATATTAGGTAAATTTTGTTATTTGTAGGTTCTGTTATCATGTGCGATGGCCAAGTCATTCTATTAATTAAAGAAATAAATATATCTAATATTAATACGGTCACTATAAAATGTTGTAACTTAACTAATTCGGTAACGATTTATGACAAAGTTGTCGGATAGATGCTTCCATAGATAGGTAATGAATAAATTAACCGACTTGGTTTTACATTATATCTCATAGCTTTTTGCGGTAGAGAGATGCGTTGCGAGACTTGCAATATTTTTACAGTATGTTTTTGATGGGATCTCATTTCTTTTTGTAAATATTTCTTCTTTTTCCCTTTTCTTGTACTATTTATTGTGTGTCAGCTAAGGACTTCTTAAAAGCCCACTCCCTGTCTCTGTGGGCTTTTTTCAGAGGCTTTGATATAACAAATTTTGACAAGTCTGGATGATAAAAAATCTAAGTCTATTGTATTCGGAAATTGCGGATTCCTGGGCTTCATTACTACTATCTTATGTATTAAGTATAAATATGTATAGTTAATTTAATGAATATTTTAATTTCATTGTTGACCCTAAATACCTACCCCGATACTGATATTGAACTTACGTAAGTTTAATAAAACGTGTAGATTTATGTGTCTATCTGCGGCATCGTAGGTAAATCCCGAAGGTTGTTATACTTAATTATTATTGCTTGTTCAGTCAATTTTGATGCAGTTTAATAGAAAAGTGAGGTTGCCAACTCACTTCATTCACTGATTCCATTGGCCATTTTAAAAGTAATTTTCGAAGAAATTGATATTTCATGACCTCTATATTCCATGTTCTATTAGGTGTGTACAGTTACGAGCAATGAAATTTTAACAAGTTTTCTAATTCAAATCAACATCATACTTTATAAAAGAAAATATACGAGCTTTGTTTCAAAATATGTTGGGACAGTAACACACAGAACCATCTAGTTCCATGGTAAGCTACGAGGCTTGTGTTATGGATACTAGATAGTTGATACACTACACATATATAACTTTAAATACATACATATTATAAATATAAACACCCATGACTGGAGTACAAACTTTAGTCATCACACAAATGAATGCCCCCAGCGGGACTCGAACCCGCGACCGCCGGCACAGAAAGTAGGGCCGGGCCACTACAAACTGAGCCAAACGTGTCGTCAAAAATTAAGTAATCGTCAAGTTTTGTCGTAATTAGGTATATATTTTAATAAATTCATTATAAATAACAGGTAATCGAATATTAGTTGGTAATACACTATACACGCTTCACGTTGTATTTATGTACCCATTTGTATATGCATAAAAATGTATACAGCTACTGAAAACGCTTGAAATAATATTTTCACATATGAATAATATTTTTCTAATGTATACAATAGTTGCAATATCAACATTAATAAATAGTCGAATCGTGATTAGGTTAGTAATTACGAGGGAACATAGGATCGAACATACAAACATACATACAGGTTAAACACTAACCTAACCACCTTTTACATTGCAAGTGACGACAATTATATGTATGAACTGCACAAGTAACTTTGTAATCCCATATATCGCATATCTATTTGTATAGGATTACAAAGTTACTAATGCAGTTTGTTGTATATCTCGAAAACAGGATTGAAATTGCGTGATGTTTGAATTTTTCCTTGGGTTATAGAGTAAACACGAATTGTGTTCAAAATTTGAACTTTCTATGTCTGCTAGAAGTACCTTAGAATTTTGATGATCGGTGAGTGAGTGAGTGACGATATTAACGAATTTTGATCTGCAACAGTTCATAAACTACTGGTTCAAATTGAATGTAATTTGGAAATGTACCTAGTTTTATTATGTTCTCTTAGTCACTCAAAATTCAAGCTTCTAGCTTTATCCATAACGAAGTTATGGGGGGGTGGAAAATGCTCTGAATCCCTTCGAGAAAAGGATGGTACTGCCGTGCCCTTTTTTGCTCGACTTGTTTGCTCGACTTGGCGGGGGCACTGCCGTGCCCCCCGATATATATGATATTCTTTCCTATGCTATCTTCAAAGATCACTGTTTTTACCAATTTGTTTTCAAATATGCAAAATATTTGTAACTAGCGGCTCACTCTCGCTTAGCTCGGGTTCGTCCCTTAGAGTAGGTACTTACTTATATGCGATAGATGTAAGAATCCAGCTAGACGCAGCAGAAGATAGAA